TTCATCCCAGCACCTCCTTCTCTGGGTCACGAGTCACCCTGGTCTGAGCCAGTGGGTACTTTTGGCAACTTACAAGACCCTTGCCAGCATGATGTGAGGACTAGGCAATGCTGGGATCACGGCCAGAGGGAGTCCTAAGCCCCGAGAAGCATACTGAGTTTCCAACCCGCAAAATTCCCCCAGAGTGATAAGAATAAACCATCTCTCAGCTCCACCCAGCCTCCTCCTCTTCACTCTAGTGGGCTTTGTGCCCATCTCTTTGCCATTAACACAGGCACTCACATTGCTACAAGTCCTGTATTCCCCATGCCCTGGACAGCTAGACAGGTACACAGGCTTCTAAGTTTCCATGATCATGACCCAACTTCAGATCTCTCACCTTCTGGTCCTCTCCTGCTCTGGCCTGCCTCAAGGGTGTCCTCCTGCCTGGCCTTGCTCAGCCTCCCCTCCCTCTTCCCACACCACAGATGTCTCCACTCATCTGCAGCTTGTGGTCAGCCACAACTGACTGGACAGTTGCTGCTAGTGTAGTCTACACCACAGGAGTCCATGTTAGCCACTACTCTGGGCTTTTCTTTGGGGACATTGGTGGCTCATGTTGTAGGACACTACTGCTGCTTGACTTTGTAGTCCATCCCCAAGTCCACCAGTGCAAAGCCCATCACTTTCTCACTGGCCATCCAGAAATCCTGCACTGGTGCCATCCCCCCTCCCAGGGCTAGCCCCCACATCCAGGCAGCACAGGAATCCCTGCCAGCCCTCAGGCTTGCTCCAGCTCTCTGCCTAGCCTCAGCTAGGGCTTGTCATAGAACGCCTGCCCTGCCTCCCCTCCTGTGCCCAGATCCATACCCCACCTCTTCCCTGCTACAGAACCTTCTCCAGGGTTTCCAAACAACCCATCCATTCTACACCCCAACTCTCTCCAAAGCTCCCTTTAGTTTTTATCTCCCTGACACACAGCACTTAGGCAAGACACACTTGTTGACTTGCATGGTCTCCTTTGACAAACGGGAGCCTGCTGGGTCAATGTGGGATGGGCTGGTAGATGAGTTAGTTGCATGAGCCCGGAGTACAGGTAAATGGAAAATGCCACACCGGGGGCTGTCCCTGCTCATCCCATCAGGAGAAGCAGAGATGGATCCAGAGAAGTGTGCCCAGGCAGGGACTCAGAGGGCAGCAGAAGGATGCAGACGGAGTGTCCACCTCACTCGAGAGCCTTGAGCACTGGGGGTGGGTGTCCAGGTCACATCCTGTGGACTGCCAGCCAGCACTACTGAGCTGGAGATAGTCCAGGACAGCAGGGATGCCTGGGGGTCAGCAGGGGCTGAGTGGGGGAGGGTATGAAAGAATAGGCCTCTTTTTGTTGTTTTGTTTTGTTTTGTTTTGTTGAGACAGGGTTTCCTTGTGTAGCCCTGGCTGTCCTAGAACTCACTATGTAGACCAGGCCGGTCTCAAACTCACAGAGATCTGCCTGCCTCTTCCAAGTGCTGGGATTTAAGGTGTGCACCACCACCACTGTCTGACTGAGATAGCCTCTCTTGCTTTCCACATCCTGTCACGGGAGCCTGAAGCCCAGAGCCACTGTCCTGGGCCATCCAATGCTTGGCATTGAAGCTCTTCTATAGAGATGAGAAAGACCCTAGGACTAATTCCAACCCTCTCTGTGACCTCCTGCAGGTCACTGCCCTGGAAAGAAGGTCTGTAGGGTAAAAGTAACAAACAACAGACTGAATTTAATCACCACACACAAGACCAAAACAAGAAGGGGACCAATGGGCAGCAGTATGTGGGCCAGAGAGCAAACAGCTCGATGGCCCAGCTTCCTGGAACTCTCCGGGCAATGAACTTGAGCAGGTCACAGCCTGTTAGATAGAAATGGAAGTGGGAAGATGCTGGTCAGACAGCCAGGAGCCTAAAGTCTTCAGGCTCTCATTTGCAAAACAGCCACCAGCTTGCAGGGTACATGGATCTTCACCCCACCCCACCCCAATAGCCACTGTTCCCTCTGATGAACCACACAAAGCAAGACCCTCAAGGACAGGGACCAGTGAGGTGGGAGGTCTGTGCTGAAACTCCAGACCTGGAAACAAGTGTCTCTTTCAACAGAAATCCTTCTCATGACCAGGATAAGGAGCTGTCAGGCAGCTGTCACTCTTTTGCAGTTTGTCACAGACTGAGGCCTGTGGTAGAGGTCTCACCCGCATAGCTGTGGCTCTGGAGTGCTATTGAGCATCAGACCTGTCAAGAAGGCTTGGGGCAGTGTGAGCGGCTGGGCTTCCCTGGGCCTGCTAGCCTGCTGGGAGAAGGCAGGCCTGGCAATCCCGGGGCTGACAAGGCTAGGTATTGGGAATGACGGGCACTCAGTGATTCAGAAGGGGCTAAGTGGAGGGGAGGGGGTCTGCCCTCTGCTGAGGACCTGCAGTATGCCAGCCAGAAACTCTCCACAGTGGGCAGCAGACATTGCTATCTCCGTCTTGTGGATGAGGACATGGAGGTTCGGAGAAGTGAGCTGTCCAAGTGTGCACTGCTAACAAGACCAGAGGCAAGATGTAGCCCTGAGTCTCTGACTTCACAGACAACTCTTTCCACCCTTCTGTGGCTAGAACAAAGCTGACCTTCCTGGAGGAAGGGTCTCGTGGTTTGCCACATGGCTGTCTTCACCTTTGGCCAATTCAGAATTGTTGCCAAAGATTTAATCATTGGCAGCATATCAATCAGGAGCATGTGATGTGGCACCACGGGGTCATTCATACTCTAGAATGTTCTAGCAGTCAAACAGAAAAGCCAGAAAGCCGCAAGACTTCTAGGGATGTAGCGCAGTAGGTAGCATGCTTGCCTAGCATGCATGCAGCCTGGGTTCCCTTCCCAGCATTGCAAAAACCACATGAGTACTGTGATGCCAGTACTCAGGAGGTAGAGACAGGAGGATTGGAAGTTCAAGGTTTTCCTTGGCTCCACAGCAAGTCAACCTGGGATACATTTAAAAAAAAAAAAACAGGTGGGGGGAGGCGGCAGAGGGGCAAGTTTCACTCAGTTTATTCAATGAACATTTGATTATTTGCTGGGCAGGTGAGACCCACTGCATGAATGAGTCTAATTGAAGGACAGAAAATGCTTGTCTGGCCAAATCACTTTTGTTTCTAAAATCTATTTGGAAAAAAATTCTGTTTGCACCTAGTGGCACAGTCCTGTGATCTCAGCTACTAGAGAGGCTGAGGCAGGATGATTCCAAGTCCAAGGCTAGCCTGGGCAGCATAGTGAAACCCTATCTCAAAACAGCATGCTTGAGAAGAGGGCTGAGGTGGGGCTCAGTGGTGGGGCACTGGTCCAGCATGGTGAAACCCTGGTTCCATCCTCGTGGGGAACCAGCCAAAGCCAAAGGCGCCCGTTGAGGAGGCATTGATGCCAGCCATCCAGCCAGCTGCTCCCTGCCCTCTTTACCTGTGGGACCCGCATCAGAGCAGTTTCATGTGCTCCTCTCACTGCCGAGGCGAACACAGCCGCTGCCTCTACCTCTCTGCTTGCATTTTTCAGAGCTGCAGGATACTGGCATCTGGGCATAGCCAGTGGTGACTGATCTGTTCCCAGTAGGTAGCTGGGGGAGTGGTATGCAGTGTTTGCTCTCAGTGGGGTGACCGAAGCTCCCCAGGGACCACTGCCCATTCTGGTTAGGACTGCCCATAATGATGAGATCCCAGGGTGGACATAAGCTCTCCGCTGAGTTCAGAATTCTTTGTCAGGAAAACCAAGCAGTTCTTGGGACTTTCCCTGAGGCCCTTGAATGACCCTTGACCCTGCTGCCCAGCTGGCCTACCTCACTGAAAAATGCCTGTCTTTCATACCCCCAATGACTTCCTGTGGTTGGCAAGGAGGTGGACTGTAGGAACAGGGGTCTGGTACATGTGTGACCACCACCGCAGTGACTGCTAAACTGTACTTCTTCCCTGAAACCCAGGACTGAGGCAGGAGGACCCTGGAGCTCAGGGAGTGAGCTCCTGGGTCTGCTAGCACTGCCCCCAGTTTCTGTGGTGTTCCAGGAGTCTGAGCATGCCTCTGAATCTCTCCATGTGACTGTAAGGAGGGGCATGATTGGAGTGGCCTCCCATCTCACAGGTGGGATCCATCAGAGAGGTGAAACCCCTTGCCTCATGAGCTCACATGGCTTGAACGGATGGAACCAGAATCCTGAGAACACCTGGGCTGGAGCCTTGTACACCCACTGCCTTCCAGACCCTAGAGCAAATGTCCCCACTGTTTAAGGGAAAGAGGAAGGAACCAAGCAAGTAGAGGAAGCTGCTGCTGTAGGGCCCTGGAGCCTGGCAGCTTCCTCTCTGTGTGCACAGCCTCCCTGGGGCTCAGCCCCTCTCCTTTTCCCGGGAGAGGTGGTCCTTGATCCCCATCTTTGCCAATCTCCCTTAGGAGCCCAAAGTGCTGACCCCTAAGTAGGCTGGCACTGGCAGGCACTGGTCAGCCACATGGAGTCCCAGGTGTCAATGCAGAGCTTTGCTGGCAGGCCAGGCTATAGTGGAAGGTCCTCACCCCCTTTCTAGCTTGGGGAGCTCCTGTGGGCTTCTTTATATGTAAACTAGTCATTACTAAGGTATCTGGCCATTTCTGGGCTGCTGAAGGGACCAGCAAATTTGAGGGTCAAGGCCACAGACACTGTGAGCCTGCACAAATATTTGTGTGTCACATGTCAGAAGGGCCTGGGCCCTAACTTAGGTGGGGCCACAGACTCAGCTCTGTCCCAGCTGAGGCTTCCGTTTGCTCAGGATCTCAGTTTCTTCACTGGGGATTAAGTAGAATAATGCTCCCATTGCTGGGCTGGTGTGCAGATGGAACCACCCAGAACCCACCAGGCGTGTGGCAGCCAGCAAGTAAGCACAGCTCTGCTCACCCACCTGAGGAACTGGACACTAGTGTGCTTGCCCACCTGAACCTCTTAGTCTCTTTGTTCCAGTGGCTCTCAACCTTCCTCATGCTGTGACCCTTTGATGCAGTTCTTCATGTTGTGGCGACCCCCAGCCCACTTCGTTGCTACTGCAGGGGGAGCCGCACGTGGTGGTCGGGACCCACAGGTGGAGAATCACTATTTATTCGTTGCCAGCCTTTCCTGGGAAACACCCAGCTCTGCTGCCATTCACGCCATGTAAGCCTGGGCTGAGACACAGCCTTGTGTAAGAGCTATCTATTCACATTACCTGGTTCCCGGGATCAGGAAGGGATGAAGCTGGATGGAGGGAGGGTCTGCCGAGTGGTTCTGGGATAGGCCAGGGAGAGAGAACAGGAGTGACGAGAGCAAGCCCAAGCCCCTCGCCCACACCAGGCCCTTCCCTCAGCTCACATCCACTCTGCAACCTAGGAAGCCCTGTGGTACTACAGTGGTAACTGAGTCTCAGAGGTCACTCTGCCCAGCCCCTAGTCACGCTCCATGTGGCTCGCACTCCTGATTAATGGGTCCTGGGACTGACTGGGTGTTGGGCTTCTGCCACCCCAGGTCTGACAACAGAGCCGAGTGATGTCTGAGGTGCATGCAGCCGGAGTCCAGAACAGGAGAGATGCGCTGAGGGAAAGGACAGTTCGAGGCTTATTCTACTTAGAGATGTCACCTGTATGCAGATGCTTCCCTTACTGATTTTATGTGGGAGTTTTCTCCTGTGGCTCTGGGGGTGGAAGTCAGGTCCCCAGTGTGCTGGGCAAGTGCTGGAGCACTGAACTACAGCCTCAACATTCCCTGTTGGCATTGACATGTGTAATCCACAGGGCTGGGATGTGCTCTGATGTACATGCATTTGATGCACAGCCTACATGAAATCAGTATAAATATTGATAACACTTTACCCTATTGGTGGATGGGGTGCATGAGTACATGTACTTGTGCATGTACCCTACATGCATGTACTCGTGCATGCACATGCATGTACTCGTGTGGAGGTCAGATGTCAGCATCAAATGTCTTTCTCCATTGCTCTCCACTTTGTTCTTTGAGACAGAATCTCTCCCTGAGCCTGGAACTCGGCATTTCAGCAAGCTTGACTGACCAGCAAGTGCCCCCAGGATCCACCTGTCTTTGCCACCACAGTGCTGGGATTGCAGGTGTGTGTCACCAAGCAGAGTCTTTACATGGATGCCATGGAACTGAACTTAGGCTCTGTGTGCACAGTGAGCATCTCCCCAGCCTTTTCCACCGAGTGCCTATGCTCCCTCTTTAGTCTGTGGTTGCCTTATGCACATCTTATAGCCAGGATTAAAGAACAGAAGACAAGTTCCCTGAGCAGGCTGAATCTCAGCCTCCCTTCCCATAAACTTTTTGTGTAAGAGGGCCTCCCAGGACGCGCCTGTCCTAAAGGCTCATTTCTTATGAGTCCGAAGTTCAAGCTTCCCAGGAGCCTGTGTGTATTTGCTGGCAAGCCTGCTTGCCTTCCCTGATACCTCCAGGAGCTCTGAGGAGAAGCCCACAACTCCTGTCAGCTTGCTGGCTACACAAGTCCCCTCTGCACCTTCAGACAGCGCCCTTTGGCCTGCTTTCTCTGGCATCTGTATTTATCTTCATCTCGATGGTTCTGCTGCTGATAACCGCTGGACAGGTAAACAAGGAAGGAGGAGAAAGTCCACAAGGTGCCTATCAGCACCAGTAAGAGGCCAGGGCCGTGGGCAGGGCCAGCCTGGAGAAAGGCCAGTCCCTCTTTCCTGGCTTTCCAGGTTCTGACCTCTGGCTGCCTCCAGTCTCCCCTTGGCAGCTGAGGCTCCAAAATAGGAGACCCTGACCCTGGGTACATGCCCTCTTTGCCTCAGTTTACATATCCAAGAGCATGGCCAAGCTGCAGCCACGAACTATGGGACATGAAAGGAGAGACGGGATGCAGCCAGACCCCGGGACAGACGTGTGCCCTGCGACTGCTCCGTTCCTCAGGGACCTCACTGAGTTCAGAGTCCTGCTCCAGGTCCTGGTGTGTGAGAAGTACACTTTGAGACTGGAGAGGTGCAGAAAAGGGTTTCCTCACCCCAGGCCACAAGGCACACCTGCACTGAGCTGAGGTCTGTAGCAGGGACTCTGTGAAGCTTGTATTACCTGGTCCAATGATTTAGCCCTGGGTAAACTACACCTCTGAGGGGAGTGTCTCAACAGAGGAGCTCAACCCAAGGCAGCTCCCACTCAGGCTGAGGAAAGATGTCAGGCCTAGTACAGTTGAAAAATGCAGAATGCATGCCCTTGTTAAAAAAATGACCAAGAATTTTAAGGAAGACACCAGAGCTTTAAACCAAAGCTTGGATCACAGGGCCTAAGCATAAATTACAACACAGAACCCTCCCCCAGGGGAGGAAGCCAGGCAGGAAGAGGAGAGAGCTGATACCTGGGCTGTGGACTGCAGGTACCTGGCCTTTCCCCTAGACCCAGGTCAGCAGCCAGCAATGCTCACCCCACCACTGCCTCCTGCCTGTTTACCCAGAATGGCGTCCCTCTTCACCCACCCCTGCAAGACGTGCCCCTCTGCCAGATGGTGGCTTGGCAACATGTACTTCTTGGGGAACAGACTCTCCTATTGAGATTGCTAGTGCAAACTAGGGCTCAGAGATATGTGGTGTGTGTGTGGGGTGCATGTGTGTGTATGTGTGTGCATGTGTGTGTATGTGTGTATGCGTGTGGTGTGTGTGTGTATGCGTGTGGTGTGTGGTAGTGTGTGTGTGTGTGTGTGTGTGTGTGTGTCTGTGTCTGTGTATAGCAGTACTGGGGATTGAATTGAAGGCTTTCAGCATGCTAGGCCAGTGTTCTGCCACCAAGCCATCCCCCAGCCTGAGCCCAGGTTTGAACATATGCATATGAGTGCAGGCAGGGTTGTGTGGAAGGACTTTTTTTTATGGTACTGGGGCTTGAACCTAGAGCCTCATGCAATGCTAGGCACCGGCTCTACTGACTATTTCCCAGGGCCTATATGCAGCATTTTAAATAATTTTTTAAGCCAGGAAAAGCAAAATGTCGACTTTTTATGGAATAAAAATGTTTGCCAGCAGCTCTACAAGGTGGTCCTAAAGACCCTGTCTTTCTTTATCTGGTGTTTGTATTCATCTTTTCTTTTCTTTTTTCTTTTTGAAAACTGCATCTAAGTGTCACTTTCTTGCTTAGTATGTGGAATCACTCTTAAAGTTGCTTCTTGGAGCAAGAGCCTGACACCTACCCCCAGTTCTGGTCCTGGTAGCAGAGAGGACCATGAGGGTGACAGATGATAATGACAGGAACAGGTGACGGCCACCAAGGTCTACAGTGACCTAGACCCCCACCCAACTTGCTTCTGTTGAGCAAACACTGAACACCTATGTGGGGAGTGCCATCCCAGACCCAGCAAACTCAAGAACAGTTCAGCAGATGGTGTGACCCCCTCTACAGGAAGAGAAGTCTGTGAGGACCAGGGAGATGCCACACAACCTCCTGACCCACACACTCCCCAGCCCAGGAGGGAATCTTTCAGACAGGGAAACTGAGGTTTGTTCAGAGCCTCCAACCAAGAAGTTGCAGTGGGGATTACCAGGGGTCAGGCTGGTGCCTGAGGGCTTTTTTCTGCCCACTCCCCACAAGCTGGGGTGGAAGCCTGTGGACAAGCTCCATCCAGTACTTCAGGGGCCAGCAGGCCAGTCATTTCAGTTGCACATGGCAAAGTTGTCCCCTAGGGAAGAGACCAGGTGATCTCTTCCAAGGGTCACAGTTCCTCCTTCAGATTGAGTCCAAGAAGGGGGGCTAACCAACAGTGGCCCTTTAAGACTGGCCAGGGGCAAGTTCATTCACCCAGGGGCCCCTGCTGACTCACGCTTATGAAAGTGATTTTCCTGGCCCCGCCCCTGCCTCCGCCTCCTCCCAGCCCTGCAGTGAAATACCCCTGCTAGCCTTGGGCCTCTCACAGCCTCTGGGATCCCCAGGGCTAAGGGGCATCCTGTTCCTGCAGCCGGTCACCGTGACTAAGTCCCTCACCCTGACCAAGTTCCTTGGAGTGTCCTGCCAACCCAGGCTCACCAGCTCCCTCCAGCTGCTGCCCATCAGGTGAGTGGCGGGCAAGGCTGTGGTTGGGAAGTGTCAGCTGCGGGGCAGGGGGAGCCAGACAGGGCAGCCGGGCAGTAAGCTGGTCCTGGTCCTGAGCAGGAGTCTGTCAATCCTCCCTGCTCCTCCCAGCCATGGCCATGTCCAGGTGCCCGGGCCACTCTCCCCAACAGCTTCATCCAGCCCATGGAGTAGCTGTTCTGGCAGGAAGAAATGTAAATAGCCTTGATCCTGAGAGGCCACTGTATCTATAGCCCAGTGGTTGCTGTGTCCTGTGTGCCGGGCACGGATGGGCACAGCCAAGGGGTCTGGGCACTTAACTTCTGGAAGGTGCTTGGAGAGAGTGGTGGCCCATAGAGTTGGGGCATCAGGAATCCTTGGGCTCAGGTGGGGCGGGCACTTGGAATAAGTGTTCATTGTGACTAAGGCCAGGTAATACTTGGCTGAGTGCACACTTCCTCACGCCCCAGGACTTGGTGTCACTAAGCAGCTATCACTGTTATTTGCTGCTTTGTTTGGGAATGGAGGGGAAGGGGACCAAACTAGGCTGTCTGACACCTAGACAAGACGCCTACCTCAGTTTCTTTCTCTGTGTAGTAGGGATAAGAAACCTCAGCTCTTGAGTATCTTGGAGGCAAATGGTACACAGCCCTAGCCCTCCCCAGTGTGACAATTTCACAACCTCAGAAATATCTGCGATGTGATACCAGGAAAGTTATCAACAACTCTTGAGAGTTTTATGTGCATGGGTGCATGTGCTCATACCTGTAGAGGTCAGAGGTCAGTGCCTAGCAACTTCCTCAATCACTGTCCATCTTCTTTTCATTTATTATTTATTTATTTATCTTGGTTTATTCAAGACAGGGTTTCTCTGTGTAGCCCCAGCTGTCCTGGAACTCACTTTGTAAACCAGGCTGGCCCTGATTAGTACTTGGATGGAAAACCACCTTATTTTTTTTTAATCTTTTTTTTTTTTAACTAGAGAAAGTAGGTGATTAGACAGTCACCCTCAGGGGTCAGGAGTCAGTTTTCTCCTCCTATCTTTATTGGGCCCTAGGGATCAAATCAGGTCACCACCCTTATGTAACAAGTTACCTGTTGAGCCATTTCCCTGGCTCTCCTGGACTGAACCTGGAGCCCATTGATTCAGCTAGCCATCCAGTCATCTCCAGGGCACCTCGCTCCAGATCTGGGATTATAGACATCTGCTTTTTACAGGGGCATGAGGAACCCTAGCTCAGGTCCTCGTGCTGTGAAGCAAGCACTGTACCCACTGAGCCATCTCCCTGGCCCCTCACACTAGCAAATTACAGTGTTTCATGTCACCATTGCCCGACCAGCGGGACTCTGAAAGACACTGTCACATTAAAAAAGGGGGGCTATTCTAAACTGCAGGGTGGGGGGCTCACTCCTGTAATCTGAGCACTTGGGAGGTGTGGGCAAAGAATCCAGAGTTGGAAGCCATCAGAAGCATGATGTAGTTTAAAGCGAGCCTGGACTGCATGAGACCCTGTCTCAAACAAACCAGGTGGCTTATTGCAACTCTACAAACTACAGCCAGAGAGTGGAGCTGGAATACAAAGTTGTTTTGCTTTACAAATGTGTAGCTAGCGTTTGTGGGTGATTGTGAGGGTGAGCAGCTTGGAGGATGTGACCTCTGGAGGGGAGTCCAGGCCTGGTGGTGACCTCATGTGTATGGTATCCAGCAGCTCCAGGTGAAGCCTCTGCCAGCTGTTCTGGGAAAGAGGCCTGGTCTTGGAGTGCAAAGTCCTCCAATGTATTAGCCCATCCTACTTCCTGTGAAGCAACTTGGTCATCCCCTTGGATCTGGCCTGTGGGGCCAGGGCCTCCTGCTGGCACCAGTGAGGACTGTGTGCCGCCGGGGTATTACCGTGAAAGGTTGGCACCTCAAGTCTCTGGGGGATAGTTGGCATGCTCTTGTCAGGGGCATTGGAATGTCTAGTAGGGTTCTGCCCACAGGGGTCAATTTTCAGTTCTGTTAACTATCTGCTCTGAAGCTTTGGGGGCATGGCTTTTTCCCCTGAAGCCTCAGTCTCCTCATCTGAGAAGTGGGTTGTCATGAGGCTTAGAGGAGACAATGCATAGGAAACACCCAGCCAGGGTGTTATACTCTGTTGCTGCTGTTCCTGGGGATAGTGGAGACAGGAGGGAGAAAGCCCAGGCCCTTTGGTTTACCTAGAGTTCACTGGGGAGGACACTGTGCTCTGAGACCTGCAGCCTGAATCCCCAAGGCTCTGACCACAGCTGCACCTTCTAGTCAGTCAGTGAGAGACTGACCCTGTGTCAGGCCTTTGGGTACAACCACACACTGCATGAGTCCCTACACCTGCAGGAGCACAGAGAAGGTTCTGGAATGGGGTGGCCCAGCTCAAGTCCAGTCCCCCTGACTAGATGTAGGGCAGGCTCCTTGAAGCAAAGCTCTCCAGCCTCAGTCTCTTTATCTGTAAATTGGGAGTGATTGAAAGAGTACTTTTAACACCCAGATAAATATTAGAAGCATAAACTGGTGTGTGTAGAGGGTTTGAACTTTGAATGGCAACGCTCTATGGAAGTCTGGCAATGCCTGGTGTTGGAATCACTGCCATCGGTCATGCTACTCCAATATCCTCTTAGGCCCTGTATGGGGAGCCCATGTGGTTTCTAATGACAGCAGGAAGCCACCTGCACTCTCCCAGGGAGGAGGAGGAGGGGGACTCAGGAGGTGCCGGGACATAGAACACCTCTTTATAAGTCAGGGAGCTATGCTAAGCCTGAGCACAACTGAGGCCAGGAAATGGTTTTTGAGCCCACCCGTGAGCCCACAGTGAGGTACGGGAGCATGTCCCACTGCTACTTCCCTTGTGGGGCTCACAGTCACCAGCAGGGGAGCACTGAATGCCAACAGCAGGTTCAAGCTGCTGTGAGGTCAGTTGTCCTGTCTGACTGGTTGGACCTGCCTGATGGGAGATGCTGGTGTTTGTGTCCCAGCACGCAAGTCACACTCAGCCTCAGCTGTGTTTTGTTGGCCTGTGAAGGATTTGCGTAAAGGTGCATCATTGGCTGGCCGCTTTTCCAAACTAGAGAGTTCATATACTACCCCCAGATTTCCGCCTCCTCTGTAAGAGGGGTGTGACCTCAGATCAGTGTGCTGCCACCAGGTGAATCCACAGCTCTCAGGATCCGCAGCAGCTCTCAGGGATCCGCAAGATGTCTCAGAGTCTTAATCATCAGTTAGCCTTGGGGTTAAGTTCTGCCGGCAGTTTCCACTCAGGGTCAGCGTGGGAGGGACACGCTGCTCCCCAGCTCCCCAGCGTGGCCCAACATTGTTTGTGGCCCCTGGTTATGTACACAGGGCTGTGGCTCCTGGGGGAGGCTGCCCCACTCCTGCTGCCAACCTGGGAAAGCAGCTCCGGTGCTTTGAGCAATTAGATATTGTGACCAGCAGGGGGCGCAGGAACTCCAGAATGTGGTACTTGCTGGCATTTTCCCAAGTCTAGCTGTCGAGTCTCCCCAAGTCCAAGGTCCAGCCCCACCCTAAGCAGGAAGTCAGGCAAGACCTTTCTGGCAGTAAATCCACCCAAGCAGGTGTTCCAGAATATTCTCCTACTTGCACAGCCTACAGAAGCTCCAGGTCTGGGAATGAGCCAGTGTCACCAGTAAGGAAGCTATCTATTGCGTAGGCCAGTGGTGTAGTGGCCCTGCAGCCACCAAAGAAGTCGTCTTATATCCCCCACCCCCACGCCCACCCCGCTAACTGGGCAGGGAATCCACTCCCTGAGATAAAGTGGGGAGAAGGATAGCATAAGGCTCAGTAGAGGTGGTGACTCCTGGTCCCCAGGCAGCTAGGGAGGAGGGCGGGGCCGTGTGACTGGAGACAGGCATGTTGGATGCAGAGAATGTGGGAGGGGAGGAAGGAGAGATGAGGCCTATTGTGACTGCCCCCTGAGGGCCTGCACTCAGTGCTGAGCGCCAGAATGGAGCTGAGAATTGGCTGTGGGTCCCTGACCACATGGGCTTCTCTTCGCTCCCCAGGTCAACTGCCAGCCTCAAGCTGAACTCCAACCCCAGCTATGAGCTCCTGGAGGCGTGACTACCTCAGGGCCAGCAGCTCAGAGCCCCTCCCAGTGGTCATCATTGGTAAGTGTCACACTGGCAGGGGGTCCACTGGTGCTCTGGGGACCCCTGGGTCTGAGGCCAGCAAGGCTGAAGCTGGCCTATAATGGCTGTCTTAAAGAAACTGGTGTGTTTACCGTGGGGCCAGCACTATGTGTATAAAACGTTACACAGTTACCCCTTGTCCACCACTGCTAGATGCCCACATGAGGAACACAAAGATAGGGTTCAAATGGTTCCTGTCTTCAGTTCCGCAAGACCGAGAAAGCATCAGGTGAACGGACATTTTAAAAGTAAAACAGTGCCGGGCAGTGGTGGCACACCCTTAATCCCAGCACTTGGGAGGCAGAGGCAGGTGGATCTCTGTGAGTTTGAGGCCAGCCTGGTCTACAAAGCTACACAGAGAAACCCTGTCTCAAAAAAACAAGTGGAAACAGATTGACGGCAGTAAGAGCAGGGGAGAGATGTTGGGCTGGCAGAGGAAGCTCTGATCCAGCTGGGAGGAGCTTAAGGTCACTCAGACTCAGAAACAGCCATCACCCCACACACACAGGGCTTGGTACAATCCATCCCACTGATGGACCACTGACACAGCCCTCCTAGCTCAGGCTAACACCCTGCCTCTGGGCCACACTCCCATCCTCCTTTTATCTTGGAGCTCACTAAGTTGCCCAGGCTGACCTTGAACTTCAGAACTCCCAAGTTTCAGGCTTGCATGGCTCTAGGGTCTGTCTCTGTGAGTGTGGAGCCCTGCTTAGCTTTTTGTCAGCTGCGTGAACATAGGCCACTTACTCAACCTCTCTATGCCATTCCCTCACTGACATCATTGCAGAAGTGTGCTTAGAAACATTTCACATAGGACCCACACACAGAAAGCCTTCAGCTATTGCTCATTAGTTTATTTCTTAATCATTATTACACATGGAATCTGACACAGAGTAAGGACTTGGCGAATGTTTCACAGAATGGAGGAGCAAACAGCCAGGCCAAGTCCCCCTAACACCCCGCCCTGTCTCTGCAGGCAATGGTCCTTCTGGTATCTGCCTGTCCTACCTGCTGTCTGGCCACATCCCCTATGTGAAGCCAGGCACCATCCACCCGCATCCCCTGCTGCAGAGAAAGCTGGCCGAGGCTCCAGGGGTCTCCATCCTGGATCAGGTGAGTCTGACACATGAGTGTGAGAGGTATTCTCCTAGGAAAAAGTTAGGTATCCCTGGAATACCAAGCACACAACAGAGAAGCCCACAAAACCAACCTTAAAATAGGACAAGAGCAGCTAGACTGTTTTCTGAGACTACTGATGCCATGTCAGTGGTCTAACTATGTATGATGTCCACGGTTCTCAATGAGGGACTCCCTCTAAGAACACCCACTGTGGACCCAGAAGGACCACAGTGACAGTCCCCCAAAATACCCAGCATAGAGGTCCCTGTGTAACCAGTTTCTCTCAGCCTCAAAGTGGGACTCTGCTATCCTCTGGGGGCCCCATTGACCTGTGCCTCCTCTTAAGGACCTGGAGTACCTTTCTGAGGGCCTTGAAGGCCGAAGCCAGAGCCCTGTGGCCCTGCTCTTTGATACCCTCCTGCGCCCTGACACAGACTTTGGAGGCAGCATGGACTCTGTACTCTCCTGGAAGCGGCAGAAGGAGCGTGCTGTCCCTCACCTTGTCCTGGGGCGGAACCCCCCTGGGGGCGCCTGGCATGTGAGTATCATCTTGGAGCCACCCCTGTTCTCCCTTGTACCTTCTTCTCTTCCCATGTGTCCTCTCCTGCCACTTGTCTCAGCCCTGGGGAGGGGCACCATCTGTCCCGGCTGGGCCTGAGAACTCCTTTCTCTGCAGTCCATTGAAGGTTCCATGGTCACCTTGAGCCAAGGCCAGTGGATGAGTCTCCCAGACCTACAGGTTAAGGACTGGATTCGGAAGAAATGCAGGTAAGGAGCTAAGGAGCACCCCCCCCCCCGCAGGAGGCTAGGCCGGCAGAGAGGACTCCCCTACAAATAGATACAGCTGGCCTCTCTAGTTCTGGCTCTGCTGGACTCTCCCTGAAGATGAGGAGGGATGTCAGGCTTGTGTAGGGACAGGAACATATGCTTCTCTTGCCTTTGATGCATAATGCCTGTCAGAATTGTCTTTTGTGAAGCTACAGTGCTTGTAGCCTTCCCTTTACATGGCTTTGTAATATTCCTAAAGGGGCCATGTCCCTGGTTCAGAAAATACCCTACAGCAGTGATCCACTGCCACCCACTTGCCTCTCTTCCATGTGCCATTGTAAGAAACAACCCAGAGGGTAGCCTCTTAGGACAGTTCTCAGTTTTCAAAAACAAAAAACTAAAACAGGAGAGGGGAATGACAGGCAGAAACAAATAATTCTATAGCTCCTGGGTGGCCTAGGTGAATCCTGGCCTTTGAGTCATATGTGCCTACACTGGGTCATACAATAAGTTCAGAGATGTCAGAGGTTATGCAAAGCCATCTCCCCTACCAGCATCACAGACCCTGTAGTCACTGTCTCTGGAAAGGGAAGATACAATACAAATACAAATGGCAGCAGAAATGATGGCACAGCCCCCTGTGCCTTTCCTGTGTGGCCCAGGACCTGCTAAGGGCATCAGTGGGATAGTTTAAAGTTCACACTAATCAGAATGTGACTCACGGGGTTGAGCATTGGGGATTTGGCTCAGCGGTAGGGCGCTTGCCTACTAGCATGCACAAGGCCCTGGGGTCTGTCCTCGGCTGGGAGGTGGGGGCATGGGGAGATGTGACTCACGTAGAAAAGGGTAGGGAAGCCCTGGGCACCACTGAGGAGCACGTTGCCATGGCACTCAAGGTCAGATCCAGAGACCGCTGCCCAGCACCTCACTGACCTCCAATCACCCTCCCTTCCCCTCCTCCCGTTCAGCCCTGCTCTTAACTCTAGCTGTATAGACCCCTTGGCCTCATTCTGAACTTTATAGATGTGAGATCTTACTACATTTACATAGACATTTTGGGTTCTAGTTTTAGTTTTTGAGGCAGGGTCTTGCCATGCCAGACTGGCCTTAAACTGGTGATCCTCCTGCCTCAGCCTCCTGAGTGCTGGTAGTCACCAGCTTTTGGACTGTTGTAACCTTTTGGGGTAATGGTATCAGGGGCCGGGCAGCCCAGACATGGCACTACCATGCTCAAGTTCCCGTCTAGGCACTTGGTTTGCACCCAGCCTTGTAGAATCTCCCAAGCCCTCATGGGATGTTGCTGACACACTCATACACCCTGCCTCACAAGTAGGGAAACTGAGGCACAGGGAGTTTCAGGCTCCCTGTGTTAGCTCCACTTTACACAAGAGACAGGGAAGCCTGGCCTCAGCTAGGAGTGCTGTCACCACTGGTATTGCCTACCACATCTCTGACACCCAGCGCCCACATCTGTTTCCTTCTCAGAGGTCTCCGTAACAGCAGAGCCACAGCGGGTGACATCGCCCACTACTACAGAGACTATGTGACCAAGAAGGGTCTAAGTCACAACTTTGTGTCTGGTGCTGTAGTCACTGCCGTGGAGCAGGCAAATTCTGAGCATGGCAGCCCTGAGGCCCAAGCTCCCGGCCCCCTCTTCCAAGTAAAAGGCTACTTAACTGCCAAGGACAACAGCCACCAGCCCTTCTCACTGTGGGCCCGTAACGTGGTCCTGGCCACGGGCACCTTTGACAGCCCAGCCCGGCTAGGCATCCCAGGAGAGACCCTGCCCTTCGTCCACCATGAGCTGTCAGCCCTGGAAGCAGCCCTGCGGGCAGGCACCATCAATCCAAACTCAGACCCGGTGTTGATTGTGGGCGCTGGGCTGTCTGCAGCCGATGCTGTCCTCTTTGCTCGCCACTACAACATCCAGGTGATCCATGCCTTCCGCCGGTCTGTCCATGACCCTGGCCTGGTGTTCAACCAGCTGCCCAAGATGCTGTACCCTGAATACCACAAGGTGCACCAGATGATGCGTGATCAATCCATCTTGTCACCCAGCCCCTATGAGGGCTACCGAAGCCTCCCTGAGCACCGGCCGCTGCTCTTCAAGGAGGATCACCAGGCAGTGTTCCAGGACCCACAAGGGGGCCAGCAGCTCTTTGGAGTCTCCATGGTGCTGGTCCTCATTGGCTCCCACCCCAACCTTTCCTACCTCCCCAGGGCAGGTGCTGACTTGGTCATAGACCCAGATCAGCCACTGAGCCCCAAGAGGAATCCCATTGATGTGGACCCCTTCACTCATGAGAGCATTCACCAGGAGGGCCTGTATGCCCTGGGGCCACTGGCTGGGGACAACTTTGTGAGGTTCGTCCAGGGTGGGGCCTTGGCTGCTGCCAGCTCCCTGCTGAGGAAGGAGACCAGGAAACCACCCTAACATCCGCAGATGCCCTGACACCAGGCCCTGAAGAGGAGGGGCTCATCATAGTCCAATGGGACATGGGTCCATCTAAAGATTTCCTATGTGGGGACCAGTCTCCCCAGCAGGAGATGAAGACTCGAGCCTTGTGGATGGACTGTCTGGCCCAGAGGCATGGGGAACACAGGTTACCCCATCCTCAAGCTAGTCAAGGCTCTAGGTGAGAGCAGTAGCCATAGGCCAGAGACACCTGGGCCTGGGCCACCTTGAAGCTGTCAGTGTGTGCTGGAATCATGGGGCCAGCTGAGTGCCCAACTAGGAGGACTCCAGATGGAACCTTTCAGAATCAGGTCCATAATAAAACCAACAGTGCCTCCACTGTGCCTGAAACGTCTGTGCTTGGGGAGTGGCTGGGCAAACAGACCCCACACTGGGCCCCTGGATGAGGCCTACAGCTCCAGAACAAGGGATGGGGGCCCAGGGTGGAGCAGTTGTGGGCAGGGAATGAAGCTTCCAGAAGCCCTTTGCAGCCCTGTCAGCCTTGTAGTCCCCTGGTCTGTTCGTCAGTCTCCAAGCCTCACCTCCCGGTTACATGCCTCAGGGCCTTTGCTCAGACTGGTGTCCAGCCCAGGGCCCCCTGTTCAGGTCTCTAGAGTCTGAGTCACTTGCACAATTATCCACATCTTGCTCTGCCTTCAGGGTAACTGGCGTCCGCGGGTGGAGGAGGGGAGGAAGGGACTCAGGAAGAATCGGCCGGCAGAGGGCGCTCAGGGCTCGCCGGACACTCGCACCACGGGGGAGGGGACCCGGGGTCAGCGGGACCCTGGTGGGGACTGGGACACAATCCCGGGGGCCCCCACCCTCCTCTACACCCGTCCGCAATCCGGTGTGCACGAGGCCATCCCCCTCTGTGACCGTGCCAGGGTCCGGCCACCGGACCCCGCACCCCCGCGGGCAGTCCCCTGCCTCCGCTCTTGGCCGGCGGGGTGGGGGCGGCGGGCGCGGAGCACGTGGCTTGGGGTCCGGGGAACCCCCCCACGCCCCGGCACTGGCGGTCCCCGCGGTGTCCGGGCCGCGGGGCCGGAGGCGGGAGCGGCGCGCGCGGGCGGGCGCGGGCAGGGGGCGCGCGGGGGCGCGGCCGGGCGGGGGTCGGCGGGCGAGATGTGCGAGCGGGCGGCGCGCCTGTGCAGGGCCGGCGCGCACAGGCTGCTTCGGGAGCCGCCGCCGCAGGGCCGCGCGCTGGGCGGGCTGCTGCGCTGGGTGGGCGCCAGAATGGGCGAGCCCCGCGCACCGCTCGTCCCCGACATTCCCGTCGCGGACCCCAGCCCCGGGCCCGCCGCGCCACGCGGGGGCACGGCCGTCATCCTGGACGTGAGTATGCGCCGGACCCTCCACCCAGCGCGGCTGGGTGCCACTCCGCACCCGGGACCCTAGCACCCTCTCCTTCATCCTGCACGTTCCCACATCCCCGCATCCCTTAGCTGGAACCCTCCTCGACGCGGAGACCCCAAGCGCAAACCCCTAACTCTCATTGCCGCTGAGGCGCCTGTCCTCCAGATCGTACGATCCCCTCTATCCATCCCCTCCCTCCACTTTCCCTCATTCCCACATCTCTACATCCCATAGCTGGGACCCCTTCTTCCCACAGGGACCCCCAGGACCCCCAGCCCCACCCTACTATTATCCTCACCTCCATCCTTTTCATCCACTTCCTTGGATCCCCACATCCCATAGCCGGGACCCTCCTCCGAGTGAGAACCTCAAGCCACCAACCCCACACCCGGACTCAGTCCCCTCCCTCCATATTCCCGCTTCCACTTATCCCACAGCTGGGATCTCATCGCGGCTGCGGAGCCTGTCCCCACTGGAACTCCACGACCCCCTACATCCCCTCCCTTTACAATCCTGCACCCCCGTATCCCATAGCCCGGACCCCTAGAGCTGCCATAAGTCTGGCCACTATTCCCCTCTTTCGGTTCTAACCAAACCCTCTCACTTGAATCCCTACTCCTGGGACAAGAGCCCTGGGCACCTCCAGCCCCCTCCTCTCTATGGGGCATTCTTCCCTGCAGTGTTACTTCTCTGAGACCACACAGCCCCTCAGCCACCCCTCCACTCTCTGCTGAGAAAGCTGAGCCCCCCACACCCTCCCCCCCCGCTGTGCCCCTTCCCACCTCCTCTCTTCCCATAAAATCAGAACCATGCCTGGGCGTGGGGGCTCCCTCCCCCAGCTCCACCCCAAGCTATTGCCCTTCACTCTCTTCCTGGCACCCTCCCCTCCTGTACTTTCCTTTCGACTCTTGGACCCCAGACTCACTCCTCACCCCACCTAGCTCCTTCCCCCTGCAGAGTGGGGGAGTCACATGGGCGGGAGAGGGCTGGTGGCCTGGCCATGCAGGGTTTCTGGGGTTGGAACTGGTCTGAGGGGGTGAGTTTGCATGTTATGATGCTCTAGGAGAGTCAAGGTGTTTTTGAGTGTGTAAGTGCACACTTGTGTGTGTGTGCCTCACACCCCTACAAGTGTCAGGGTACTAGAAACCCTATCCCCAATTCTCTTGTTAGATCTCAGAGCCCACATGTATGTCTAGGCAGGAGGGTTTCAGAGATGGGGGCCCTAGTGACTCAATGAACACACGCACACGCGCACACGCACACACACTCACACACACGCGCACACACGCACACGCGCACACGCACACACACACACACACTGTAGGACTGAGGCAGAGTCCGGGTGGAGGTGGCAGCTTGGCCCTCTTTCGGGGGAGCCCTGTCCAGCCCTTCCCTCTGCACTTGCTGCTGTGTGCTGGCTGAGCCTCTATTTCTTCATCTGTGCAGTGGGGTAAGCAGTGGGGGAAGGGCATTGTTCACCCTGGTTCCAGGAGCCACCTTTGTTGGTGTCAGTTGAGAGCACATCAGCCTAGCCATTCCCATACCCAGGCCTTTTGGGGTCTGGGAGCACCCAGAGAATGCGCATATCCCTTGTCCTATTGCTTGTAGGGTGCAGGTGAGCAAAGCCATCCGTCCTTGTATTCAAAGAGACTTGAGGGGGTGGCACTTCATGCCTGGCCTAACAGATCCCTATTAAACCTTCCTGAGTCTGGGAAAACCCAGAGAGTGGAGGCGGGGACTGGACATTTCCTTCTGGATAAAGGGAGTCAATTCCTTCAGGATCCTGAGACCATCTCAGTGCTGGGACATCAGCCCCCACAGGGAGCTGATTAAAAGGCGAGCCTGATTGATTGAGTAGATTCAGGGTTGGACACCAAATCCCTCTGTGAGTTAGAAGGTCTTAGCAGACACTTTGATCCAACCTGCCTGGGTTATGGCCCAGGCTGAGCGACTTTTGGAAGTGCCCGCAATTATCAGAAACAACCTCTTGACCCTGGCCACCCAGCACCTGTCATCAAAGGACCTTGAGGAATTCAGTTGTCAGCAAAGCACGGAGTGACTTTGTCTCAAAGTGCAGGTCCCAGGTTTGGGCTGTTCCCGATCCCATCCCTGCTAGTTGCAACCAGAACATTCCTGCCTGCCTCTCCCCTGTCTCATAATGGTGGCATACTTCCTGTGGGCTGATCTTGTCACCAGGCTTCAAGATCACCTCCTTCAGAGGGGACCTAGGCAAGCCAGAGCAAGGGAGGAGGGCCCTGAATGGCGAACGGTGGGAAGGCACGGAGTGAGCGCTCACGGGTCTCTGAGCGTGGCCGGGTGCAGCTGTGTGCTCAGCAATGGGGGAGTCTAGAGGAATGAGTGTCGTACACCTGCAGAGATACACGTGGGTGAGCGTGAGCGTGCAGCAGGGATGTGTGTCTGTCAGCAGCCGTGGGCAGGCTGGCAGAGCAGAGGGGGAGGGAGGGCTGACTTCTGAAGTAGTGTGGGAAGGGCCTCTGCCTGCTGCAGTCTCTCTACCCTGGGGCCCAGCCTTGCGGTCTCCTGGGTTAGTTTGGGTTCCAAGCCTCACCCCGGCTGCTCCTGGGAGAGGGATCTCAGCTGGGTCAAGAGGCTGCAGAGGGCACCTGCCCAGGCTCAGCTCAGGACTGACTCCAGGTCTCCTCTCTGCAGATTTTCCGCCGTGCGGATAAAAACGGTGAGTTTCCCTCCAGGCGCCCCGCTGCCCGCACTCCCTGTCCTGATGTTTCATGGGGTGGGGATGTGTACAACTATGAACCTGAGGATGAAGAACACAAGAAGTTCAGAGGTCAACTCCTGTCGCTGTTCTGTGCCTCGGTTTCCCCTTCTGTAAGCCAAAGCGGTAACAGCTGTCCTGTGTGCAGCCCTGAGCTTTGGGGGTGAGGTAAAGAGGAGACATGGGTGACCTAAAGACACCTCGAAAGAGAACCAGAGGGTGGTGTGTTCATTCATGAAGTACTCAGGCCCTTGTCTGCCACCTGCCCCAGAGGCCCTGGTTCCCTTCCCAAGTGGGCTTGAATTCAAGGTGACTCCGGCTTTGTCCAGCTCCTCTGCCATTCGTGGGAGCCGTTGCTGTATATCCTGTGTGGTTGGTGGGGTGGGGCAGAGCTCTTTGCCAACAGGCCTGGGCTGGAGCCGTTGTGGAGGAGTGTTGTCCTCTTCGGGTCTGTCCTAGGGGTGATATGCATCCTCCAGGCCTCCAGGTGAAGGACCACCTGCAGATTCCACATGGGAAACAGGGATACAGGGAGATCAAATGGTACTGAAAATGTGGTGGCTTTGTGCAGAGCCTTCACCACCCGGGGGAAAAGCGCCCCCCCCAGATCTCAGGAGTGTCAGCCTGCAGTGGGCCTTACCCTGCACCCTCCTGACCATCCCCCACCACTCCGACAGGTTGGGATTTTGGACTTGTTTTCTTTGGTAAGTTCACATGCCCAAAGCACAGTGGGTCCTCTGCCAGTGTGAACAAGATGCCTTCCCTCATGAGAACAAAGCTGCGTGTCTCGGGGAGGCTCTCATGATAAGGACTAGCTTTGTGGTGGACACGAGGTAGCCAATCCCCAGGGGAAGCCTAGAATGAGAGGCCTGACTGGCAGCCCAGGGTAAAACCCTGGAAGATGGCATTGACAGCTGGCAGAGGGAGGGGACCAGCCAGCATTTTCCTCCAGGGATGAGGCCCATCGGCTCTTGCCTTTTGAAAGGTCACTGCAGCAGGCTGGGCTCCTGCTCATTAGTGGTGCCACCTGCAAACAGCCCCACTTGAGTTGCTGGCCCAGGGGATGAAGCTCCAGAACAATTCATCTTCTCTAATTGGACCAGAGGCCAAGTGGAGGATATTTTCCTCTTAATAGCTCATAGGTGCTCATTAGGCTTGTGGCTGCCACCCAAGGTAAATGTCAGAAGGTTTCTGATCAGAGGATCTGCACACTCTGTCCTCCTGCCTCCTGTTCTCTCTGGGTTCAGAGGACACTGAGGTATCATCCTTGATAAGCTGGTGGAAGAAGTCAGAGGGAAAACAGGGCCTGGTGTTGGGACACCCCATGCTGTGCCTGGGGCAGACATGACTAATCAGTCACAGCACACATTCATTGAGTATAGACTTGATTTCAGTTTTTCCATGCAGCCCAGTTACTCCATGAAAGATGAAGCTACTGACTGCCCCTTGTCAAAACGTTTGGGGGACTGTGTTGGCACCTATCATGTGGCCCAAAGTCCTGCCCTAGGCTAGATTGAAGGTCTGAGCTCAGAGTACTAATGCCTTGTAGGACCCAATAGAAGGACTGTTCCCTTTCCCAGAGTTAGGACCTAGGTGGGGGTTGGGAGTGATCACTGTAGAAGACTATTGTTGTCAGTGTCCGAGTCAGGTGATTGAGGGGGTGCAGAAGGGCCTGACAGAAAGCATGCCATTCCCCAGAAACCAGCTTCTGTTGTCTCTGTTCTTGGGATTACCAGTCAGTAGGCTTCAGTTTGGCAACTGGGAATTCCATTCACTCAGGCAGTGGTTCTGGGAACAGTCTGTGGGCCGCCACCACGTGTTCTCTCTGAGACAGCAGCTGCTTCCTTGCCTGTCCACTGCAGATGACGGGAAGCTGTCCCTGGAGGAGTTTCAGCTCTTCTTCGCAGATGGTGTCCTCAATGAGAAGGAGCTGGAGGACCTCTTCCACACCATTGACTCCGACAACACCAAGTGAGCCCAGGCTACCCTGGGGCACCCTGGGGATGTATAGGTTCCTCCCTTCTCCATAATGACAATGCTCGGTATAGGAGCAAGAGGCCTGGAACTTCCCCGACTCACTAATCTAAAAGCCAGACCTGTCTGGCCCTCCTGTGTGTGTGGTTGTCACAGAGTTTGTCCTTCCTGAGCCACCTTGGCCAAGCAGGGAGAGCCCCTGGGCCTGATGCAGTACACACAGGACTGATGGGACATTGGCAGTGACTCTGCTGTGTCTCCATTCAGTTCTGATTCCAGAGCTACCCAATATCTGCTTCCTGAGACCCATCCCATCCACCCTTGTGCATGTGAATCCCAACTCTAGCATGAACCTCGCTTCTGACCTTGGAGCAGTTTGAACCTTTTCTGCCACCCAGTCATGACATGGACCTGCATCTTGTCCTCACAGGACACCTGGCCCCCAGAGCCAGCCAGCGTAGGGGTGCAGGGGTGCACCGCCCACACTCACAGGCCCTTCACCCATTTTTGTCCATGGCTCCTGAATTCTGCCTGGGTGGGTAAGAGCCACCTGACCACCTTCCTCTGCCCCACCGAGGTGGCGAGGGCTGAAGTTTCTGGGGGCTCTAGAGCAGGTAGGATCACTGGGGGCCCCAAGACTAGTGGTGATCCAGGCACACGGTTACTACCAAGCCAGTTTGCGGGGTCATAGTAAAGTGGTAGCTTGAAGTCAAGGCTGGAGACAGGAGGTCATTTTCTGGGGATGCCACTGTGTAGGAGTGACTTTGATCCCGAGAGCAGAGCAAGGGACACTGTCTCCAGGCCACACGAAGTCTCCCAGCTTCTCTGCAGCCTCCTGGGCACTCACTGAGTTAGACATTGTCCCTGGGAGCCTCCGGTGTCAGCTAGCGAGGTGGAGGGAGAGGAGGCGCTGCTTTGAGAGCTTGTCCTGGAGGATGGGGGCGGAGGGCTGAGCAGAGTGGACCCACTTCAGGGGAGGTCAGAATTCGGAAGACATTCTGGATTCTTTGCTCCAGTGCCACCGGAAGTAGGAACTGCAGACATTAGCCCCTTGAGTTGCGAAGCAATCCTCCTGACTCAGACAGCTCACACATCAGAAGCAGCGTTCCAGGATGTCAGAGAAATTCCAAGGCTGTCACCAGTCTTGGAATCTACAGAAAACGTTCACCCAGATGTATGCTCTTGAACATGGAATCCACTAAAAGCAGGCCTAAGCCAGGGTACAGGCTAGACCCGGAAAGGAGAAGGCGTTGGAACCCGCACAGCCACTTCCTGGTCCCTCTGCTGTCTAACACTGATTTTCACACACCTCTCCCAACCCTGAGCAAGGACCAGATCCTTCTCTGCTTTGGTGGAAGGAGTGGAACCCAGGGCTAGAATGGGGCAGGGGTATTATTTTGACAACCTGGGATAATCACAGCTGACCCCACAGCCCTTTCCCCACCCTGCTCCCAGGACCAGCCCCTCCTTGGTCCCATCTACTCATGATATGGCCCATGGGCTTTGAGAGGAATACTGAGCAGCCCGGTGTGGTGGCATAGGTCTGTAACCACAACACTCAGCAGGCTGAGGCAGGAAGATCATGAGAGTTCAAGGCCAGCCTGTATTACATAGTGTCACCTTGTCTCAAAATAAGGAAAGGAACTAGAACATGGTGGGCGGGCAGGTGGCTCCCACTCCAGCCTCTTCTATGACGTGGGTTCACGATACCAGTGCTGAGCATGCAGAGGGGGCCACAGCAAGTCTTTTAAGGACTGCTGGAGGGTCAGACAATGACCTGCTGACTCTCTCTCCCTCTCCCCCCTCCGTTTTCTCCCTCTTTCCCTCCCTCCCTCCACAGCCATGTGGACACCAAGGAACTGTGTGGTGAGTACCTGAATGGACAGCCAGCATGGTGTAGGCAAGAATACCCAGAGGAGGGCAAATCAGCACGGACCTAGGTGGCACTGGTGGGAGGGGCCCAGGGAGAGGGCGGAATCCTCTGTGACCCCTGACCTTTGTATCCCCCTTCCCCAGATTACTTTGTGGACCACATGGGAGACTATGAGGATGTCCTGGCCTCCCTGGAGACCTTGAACCACTCTGTCCTGAAAGCCATGGGCTACACCAAGAAGGTCAGTGGGGTGGGACATGCACTCAAGGAGCCAGGGCCTGAACGCCAGTCTAGCTGTTTCTGAGCATTGTTGTTCAAGGGTGTCTGGCTCTGTGGTGACAAATGTTGGTGGGGCTCCTTGGGGACCTTAGTGGATAGCCCTGTCCCGTAGGGTGTGTGTCAGAGTGTGAGGGTCTTGCCCAGGGTAGAGCCTGGTCCTGGTGCGGATACCTGGTGAGGGCAGGAATCCTGAGTGATCGGCTCCTTCAGGGGCAGCGCAGACCCAGGGATCTGGAAATGGAGATTTAGGTTTCATCTGTCTGAACTTGACCCGGGAGTGCACTGGTGTCTCCTGAGTGGCTGGCACATGGGCAGTAGAGGAAGACTGAGCTGATCTGGCCAGTGACACTGTTGAAGGACTAGAGTCTCACTTTGCTGGCTGTGGCGTGGGAGTGTACATCTTGCAGACCTTGACTGAACTGAACACTAAGCAGGTGAACACAGGGCTACATAGGCAGCACCAGCTCCCTCAGTCCCTTACGTGTAGCCTGGGCCTCGCCTGCGCTGGACTGAGGGCCCCTTCTTGCCATGCACCCCCTTTGCTGAGTCTGCCCCCCCCCCCGCTTATCCACACTGCCATTCTGGCATTGCACTGTCAGGAGTCTTGCTGTTTGCAAATATTTTAAGACCTTGTGGGAGCCACTGTAAGGGGGCGAGGGGATGTTCATCATGGCAGTTTTGCTGCAGCCCCCAGTGTCCCATGGTGGCTGGAGCATTAGCAGGGTGTGCTAGGCAAGCGTGTCAGCCTGGCTCTAAGAGGGAGGGGAAGATGGATTGTGCAGCAAGCCACTCCTTGACTCTTCCCCTCCCGTCTAGGAGCAGAGCCGCATCCCAGTAAAGCTGTAGAGCATGGACCCTCACCACCCATGAGGGAAAGGAGGCTCAGCCCAGCCCTAGCCATGCTGCCACAAGGATAGCACATGTAGCCTCGGGTGATCATGGTGGTTTCAGGTGATTCTGTAGCATCCTTGCAGGGACTGACAGTGGTGGCTGACTTTTTTTTCCTTCTTTGGTGTCTCCTAGCTGGCCTGTTTGTAGAAAGGCAGCTTGCTGATGATCTTGAATGCTTTCCTTGTGTGCTGGTAGCTTTTATGTCATCTTGACATACGCTAGAGTCATCTCGATTAAGAAAATCCCCCCAACACATTGGCCTGTTGAACAAGTCTGCAGGGTATGTTTCTGGATTGATGATTGATGTCTGAAAGCCCAGCTCACTTTGGGTGGCGCCACCTCTGGACTGGTGGTCGTGGGTGCTGTAAGAGAGCAAACAGAGCAAGCCATGGGGAGCAAGTCAGTAAGCCGTGCCCCTCCATGGCCTCTGCATCAGCTCCTGCCTGGGTTTCTGCCCTTGACTTCTCTCAGTGGACTGTGATATGGACATGTAAGCCGAAATGAACCCTGTCCTCCCCAAGTGCTTTTGGTTATGGTGTTTCATCACAGCCAAAGAAACTCAAAGACACACTGTGATCCCTGATCGGAGCTGACTGCTTTGATTTTGTGATGCAGGAGTCTCTGTCATGGTTAGCTGGGCTAGTCCCCTGCATGGGGGCTCCTCTGGTAACTTTGTTGCATGTGGCATATTCTCCAGATCCTAACACATCTAATGATGCAAAGCCCCAGCTTTTCAAGTACATCCCGAGCATCTCTCCACTAATTGCAATATTAATACCAACTCTTATTTTAGAAACCTCTTCAGTTCAGCCTGTGCAAAAATATGTTTCGCCTTCCCCTTTGTTCAGTCTCGTCTTGGGTGATGGCAAGGAATTTGCTCAAATGCCTATGGGTGTTTTTTTGTTTTTTTAATGATCTGATGATTTTGCTTCAGCTATCGATGGGTGGATTCTATTTTTAGATTCTCTCATATTGAATAGTCGGTGCTCTGTGATAAACTCTCATCAGAGCGTCATTCTTTCATCATCCCTCACTCAATTCTGTCACCTACTGAGTGTCTTCTCTCTGCATTGAGAGTTGAAGTGGGAGGGTGGCCTGGGGAGCAAATCGTCTGACTGGGGCATCTCCTGTGTGATTCACCATCCCTAAGATGTATGGAAGTGCTTTTTTTCTATTCAAAATCAAAACGTTATCCAGAACTCTTGGGTCAAGGGACTAAAAGAGTAGGGACTGTTGTCTTGGTCGTATTGTTTTATGTGTGGGGTGTTTTACCTGCACGTACATCTGTGTACCTTGTGTGTGCCTGGAGCTCACAGTAGCCAGAAGATGGCATTGGGTCCCCTAGAACCGGAGTCACAGATGGTTGTGAGCCACCATGTAGGTGTTGGGAATCAAACCCCGGGTCCTTTGCCAGAGCTCTTAACCACTGAGCCATTTCTCCAGCCCCTGTAATAAGTGGTTTATAGCAAGCCCTAATTTTAGTCATTTCCTTTTTGATGTGTTCACTTTTGTATATTCTTTAACAAACCTGGACATGTTCATTTTCATGATCAATTAATTATGTACAGTATGTTCTCATGATTATTTTTGAAAGTCTAAACCGCTATTTGACCAAGACAGACACTTCATGCAGAAAAGAACGATAAAAAGTCCTTAGGTGAGCCGGGCGGTGGTGGCGCACGCCTTTAATCCCAGCACTCGGGAGGCAGAGGCAGGCGGATCTCTGTGAGTTCGAGGCCGGGCTGGACCGACAGCCTCCAAAACAATACAGAGAAACCCTGTCTCGTAAAACCAAAAAAAAAAAAAAAAGTCCTTAGGTGGTTGTGAGCACTTCAGCTACAGCTCCCATTCCCTCCAGGGCTTGTCTCCTCCCTCTCCATCCCCCCTCCTCCCCCCTTTCTTTTCTTTCATTTTGTTTGTTGACCCAGGATCTTACTGTGTAGACCAGGCTGACCTCTAACCTGTCACCCTCCTGCCTCAGCCTCCTCAGTACTGGAATTAGAAGCATGTGCTTCCTACATTTTAAAAATGTTATGTTTGACAGTGTTGCCTGTTTCAACCAGCTGTTTCTCATAGCCAGCCCCAGACACTTATTTAATATACATATTATGTTTTCTTTCTTATTTGTGCTTCTTATTATAATTCTTGTCCTCTGTTGGCTTGGGTTCATCATCACCTTGGTCTTCTTATTTTTTCCTTTGTGTGAATGGAGTGCTTTGCTTAATATGAAATTCTGAAATCCAACACACTAACCTTTGGTATTTTCAAGGCTACCACAGATGGTACCATGCAGTGTCTTTGTCCCCAGCATTTTCCAAACTATCTCTTGCATTCATTGTATTGTGATAAAGATGGGTGACCAGTAAGTTTCCTCCCCCACTGTGTCTTCTGGTTGCATGGCACTTTGTCTTTAATGGTGTCTGGGAGGGACATTTGAAGGGTGTGGAACATCAGACCTGAAAATAGATGTCCTGCCTTTGTTGGGAAATGTGTGCAGCTGGAACACACTCTTTAAAAAACACAAAGCCAGTCTGTTCCGCACATGTTAAAGTGAAACCTTGGTGATGTTACAACTGGCTTCGGAGAAGTCAAAGAACGTGTGTGTGTGGGGGGGGGGTGGGTGTGGGCATGTGTGTGTTGCTGCTATCCTTCCACAACTGTGGGTCCTGGGGATTAAACTCAGGTTGTCAGAATTGCCATAAGTTCCCTTACCTGCTGAGCCATCTTTTCCCTGTTTATGATTTTCTAATTCATCTTTCAGGTGGGACAGGAGAGCTAACGTCTCATACTAAATATGATCTTATCATTTAATTCTTGTATTTCTGTTGTTTTTCTCATGTATATTTTTGTCCATTTTGTTTGATGCATGTAGACTTTCATCGTATTGTTTATTGTATCAAATAGCGGTATTCAGTAAAGCTAAGTTCAGAAAACAAAATGAAGCGCCAGTTCAGATCACTGTTCACCCGGAACCTCCATGATCTGGAAGGGTTTGGGTGGATGATTCTTGCAACTTTTTAATGGGTAGTTCTTCAGTTCCTTAACATATTTATTTTAAGTGCCCTCAGAGGCCAGAAGAGGATGTCAGATCCCCTGAAACCAGAATTACAGAAGGTTGTGAACCACCATGTGGGTGCTGGGAATCAAACCTGGGTCCTCTGTAAGAGCAGCCAGTGCTGTTAACCACTGAGCCATCTCTCCAGCCCCATATTTTAATATGGTGTCAGAAAACATGTTTTCTGCCTTTTACCTAGTATTTTAACACTTCCCCTGTAATTTTTAGGAGTGTGCATTTTATTTATTTATTTATTTGTATTTTCAAACAGGGTCTCACTGTGAAGCCTTGAACTCACAGACATCCACCTGCCTCTGCTCCCATGTGCTGGAATTAGTGGTATATCGTAGGGTTTTTGTTGCAGTAATGAAGCATCATGACCAAAACAAGTCGGGAAAGAAAAGGTTGATCTGGCTTATTTCCACACTGTAGTTTCTTATTGAAGGAAGTCAGGACAGGAACTCAAGCAGGTCAGGAACCTGGAGACAGAGCTGATGCAGGGGCCATGGAGGAGTGCTGATCACTCATGACTTGCTCAGCCTACTTTCTTTCTTTTTTCTTTTTTCTTTTTTTTTCTTTTTTTTTTTTTTTTTTTTTGGTTTTTCGAGACAGGGTTTCTCTGTATTATTTTGGAGGCTGTCCTGGAACTCACTCTGTAGACCAGGCTGGCCTGGAACTCACTCTGTAGACCAGGCTGGCCTCGAACAGAGATCCGCCTGCCTCTGCCTCCCGAGTGCTGGGATTAAAGGCGTGCACCACCAACGCCCGGCTCAGCCTGCTTTCTTATAGAACCCATGACTACCATCCCAGGCTTAGCACCACCCACAACGGGCTGGGCCCTCCACCATTGATCACTAATTAAGTGGCCTGCAGCCAGATCTTATGGAGGCTTTTTCTCAAGTGACACTCCCTCTTCTCAGGTGACTCTAACCTGTGTCAAGTTGACATAAACTTAGCCAGCACAAAGTGTGCCCTGCTATGTCTGGCTGAGGGTGTCTCTAAATATTCCTACCCAAATTTACTAATTATTCATTTATGATTGGCATATTAGTTGATTTCTAAGACTTTACTGTTGTAAACATAGTCATATTATATATAATATGTGTATCACACTATGACTCTCACCCAGTGCATACAGATCTGTTCACTCTTTACTCTTAAGGAGCTATGATCAGAACTGGAGGCTTACTGCTCTAAAGAATATGAGCAAGAGGGTGGAGAGATGACTCAGAGGTTACAAATGCCCGTTGCTCTTCCAGAGGACCTGAGTCTGAACTCATAACCTCTTCTGGCCTCCACAGGCACCTGAACACACATAAAAACAAAAGAAATCTTAAAAAGAATATAAACAAGTTGAGTGTAGTGATTGATACACACCCGTCACTCTAGCTACTATCCAGGCTGAGGCAGAAGGATTGTTATGAGTTCAAGCCAGCCAGAGACTGTCTCAAAAAAAGAATATGAAGAGTCTAAGCCTCTTCATCCTCAGCTGACTTGCTTTATGTGACAGTTGCATCCCTGTCACCAAGCTTAACAAGGCTCACAGCAGCCTCAGCACCAGCCTTGAAGATGAAATAACAGCCTGGTGCACATTGTGTCCTCAGCCTCCTTATCTCTTGTCGTGTTTTCTCATTTAAGCTCTAGCGCCCTGGCGGTATGGCAGCTGGCCCTATCTGCCTGATTGAGTGTGATTGCAGAACCTCTCTGCACCGGCTCTGTCTGCAAAGTCTTTGCTGCTCTGATGGGGTGCAGCCTGGCTGCACCATGTTTAATCAGCTCCGGAATGGTGTCTGCACCCGGGAGACTGTGGCTGCCTCTCTTCATTATGAGTGTTCCGTCCAGGCTGGCGGCTCTCGTGATCCTTTGTTCTTCCTCCGTCTCGTTCTTTCTTCATCTCTTTTACCCTCTTCCTTTTGATGCTCTGCTCTGCTTCATTGACTGTGACTTAGAAGATAAAAATCTTCATTTTCATCTTATTAGTGGCTTCTGAAGCCAGGCATGTCATTTAATCCCAGTACTCAGGAGGCAGGTGGATCTCTGTGAGTTCAAGGCCAGCCTGGTCTACAGAGCTAGTTCCAGGACAGTCAGGACTACACAGTGAGACCCTGACTCAACACACGTGCATGTGCGCGCACACGCACACATGCACACACACACGAAAAAAAAGAGAAAAATCTCTGTAAGCATCCTCAATCCTAGTTTTATTCTTAGATCATTAAAAACATTTCTTGTTCATTTTGGAGGAGGGATTCTGAGAGGTGGAGATGTGGTATCAGTAGTTTGACTTAATCTAATCATTGAAATGGCTCAGCTTGTCAAGGAACTTACTACCAGATCTAATGACCTGAGTCCAATTCCAAGGACCACATGGTGGAGGGTGAGAACAAACTTCCACAGGTTGTCCTCTGACTTCTGTACATGCATCATGGCACAGGCACACACATGCATACATACAAAACACACACAAATAAATAAGTGAACAATCAAGTTGCTAACGGTTTTCTTTCTTTACCTCCAAACTCAGTGCTCACACAGCTTCCGTCTTAGGGCATTTTTCTCTGTGGCTCAAGCCTGGATGTTAGGGGACATTCTTGATTGATCACTCTCTACGCAGTCACCTGGCAACTCAAATGCTCTGCAGGGCTCTGGGTAGCTCCCAACGACTACAAATGGCTTGTCACAGGGTGCATGTACAACAGCCCCTCAGGCCCTCCACTGTGGAACTGCTCTCAGCTCTTGGCAGAGGAAAAAGGGTAGTGTCTCCATTGCTGCTCTACCCCGCAGAAAGTGGCCTGTCTTTGGAATTCTCATTTTCTGCATTTAGTGACTGCCTTGTCAGTCCCTGGTCTGATTGTTACCAACCCACATCCCACTCCTGTCCTATAGCCTTTTTGGGGGACAAGGGGTGCTTATTTACTTACATATTTGTTTGTTTGTTTGTTTTGACCATGTTATGTCATCTTGGTCTTTTGGAGGTATTCAGTTGTCAGAGTCTCTAGCCTGGCATCAGGTTGTTAGAAAGACAGCCAGGGGCTGCCTGCACCTCAGACTAGGATGTCTTCTCCACCAGCGTCTGCCGGCAGTGGCTCCAAGCCAGGCCTTGGGACAGAATGTACCCTCCCCTGTGCCATCCCCCACGCCTTCTTCCTCAGGCTCTCTGTCTTCCAGCCATGTTTCCCAATGTGTAATTATTGCTAATTAATTCCCAGTCAGAGTGATGGATAGTTTAATTTGCTTTCCTTGAGAGCTTTGTTTTCCCCTGCTTTGCCAGGGACTGGGCAGAGTTCCAGTGTACAGAGGGGGGGTCACTCCAGAGGGTGAAGTCTCAGCGGTGGAGGTCCAGCACCTTTCCCCATGCACCCTCCCTGGTGGTGGTTACCTCCGCACCCCTGTTGACCCTAAGAATCCAAACTTCTCCCATCTCTGCAACCTTCTGCGGAGGCAGGGATCTCCATGAGGGACATCAGTACTGAAGTCTTACCGGAAGGAGAGGCTCTGCTGCACACCATACAGCATCCTCCTCTCCCCAGAGCTTGGTCCTCGGCATGCACACCTGCCCACCTCTCTGCCCCCCCCCCCAGTTTTGTGCCCCCATTCTGAGCACAGGCCTCACAGGATTTCTTTGGAAGCCATTTAACCTTCTTTCCTGCACCGATTTTCTTCAGTTAGTTGTCTGATAGCCACATGAAGACTTAGGGCCACAAAGAATTCTTGTAGAAGAAGGAAGTGAGCAGAGTCCATGAGGTCATCTTCCCTGTTGCTTTCTCTCTACTGCAGAAACAGAAATGTCACTCAGTGATTGCTGGCATTATTACCATCATTACAGCCATTATCATCACCATCACTACCATCACCATTATTAACACCATCGCTACCACTACCATCATCACCATCACCAGCATCACCATTATTAACACTCCCACCATCATCAACATCATCATCACCACCACCACCACCATCGCCATGGTAATTGTCATCACCATCATCATTGTCATCACCAACACCTCCATTGCTGTCTTCACCATCAACGTTGCCATCATCAGTACACCAACAGCATTCCCAACATTATCATCACTGCCACCTTTATCACAGCAGCTACAGTTTACCGTCCGTCATGGGTGATGGACACTGGGCCAAGCATCTTATACTCATCTGGTCCCTGATGGGTAAGATGGTAGAATGTACTACCACTGGCTAGGTTTGGAGAGGTGATTCAAATGAAGCCAGAGGTCCTGCTTTAGCCTCTGAATCTGGGGTCCCTGCTTTGTATGCTCTGCAGCCTCTAAGATGCAGGAGGCAGGGCAAGGCCCCACAAAGCAGAGACATTAGCCCAAGGTGTCCCCAGCCCCTGTGCCGGCCCGCATCCAGGTTCTCTCCCACTGACCCCAGGTGTATGAAGGTGCCAGCAATGTGGACCAGTTTGTGACCCGCTTCCTTCTGAAGGAGACAGCCAATCAGATCCAGTCGCTGCTGAGCTCCGTGGAGAGTGCTGTGGAAGCCATTGAGGAACAGACCAGCCAGATCCGGTACATCAGTGGGACATATGGGGATACTTACAGCAGCCTGACCCTTTGTGCACCTCAAATCTTGGTGACCTTGGCCAAGTCGCCTCTCTTGCACTCTCCAACTGCACCATGAGGACACACTTAGGATCAAGTACCTGAGTTGGGAGACTTACACGGGACAGAACACACTTAGGAGAATGGCTGGCACGAGACATGCACTCCTGGGACCCATAGATCTCGCCACAGTCCCCGTGTTCCCACAATACTGGCCTTCTGCCTGGCCCGCTTCTGAACGCCAGAAACTGGCTTGGGAAGTGGTATCTGGCTACAGGATGGGGACACAAATGCCACACGGTAGAAGTAAAATGTCCGGAGGGAAGTGTGTTCTTGCCAGGAGCCCTCCGCATCCTCAAGGAGAGCAAGATGTTCTTTTGCTGTGGGATGGGGTTTGAGTGGGTGTCACTTGGTCAGTGAGGACCTCAATCAGATAGGATTGTGAGGGATTCTTAATGACACCATTGCCAAATATGTTTGCTGTCAGCACTTGAAAAATGCAGTTCATGACTCTGTCCATGTGGGCAGCCTTGCAATCCCAAGTCCCCAGTGTCAACTGCCACTATTCTGGGGACAGCTTTCCCTTTATTGATTTATTGTTATCATCTTAATCAAACATCCCCTTTTCCTCCTGCTGTGGACAGATAGCAGCCTTGGGCAATTTTCCTGGCTGCCTTCCTACGCCCTGTGGCTCCATCCATGGTTCCACCCTCCTGCCCCCACTGGGAGGGGATAACTCTGGGATGTCAGGGGAAGGAGTGGGTGGTGTGTCTTGATGGGAAATCTGTTCCATGCCCACAGACACCTCAAACTGCCCCACATCTGAACACTTTTGGCTACAAGCCCTGAGTTCCCTTGAACCACCCTGTGTCCCCACCCTGAAGTAGCCCTCAAGGGTGCTGTGTTCCAGGAGAAGCTGCTTGAGGGACCTCCCACTCAACTCTTCATGGTCTGAGGGACACGCTGAATTTGTTACTCGTGTATAGAGATGTGTGTCTGTGTGTGTGTCTGTGTTTGACAGCTCCCAGCCTTCTGCTAGCCTTGTCTCTCTGGGGGAGCTGAGCCTACTTGCTCAACACAGGAGAAAGTCTTGCTAAGCTTTCAGGCGTCACAGGAGACAGATTCAAAATGGGATAGGGGTGTCAGCCACACACGCCATTGACTGCTGTGTCTGTAGTCAGTTTTGTAAGCCCATCTTTGTGCATAAGGAATTGGCTGTTCACCCTGCATTTTTGGAAATCCTGCTGGGTGCCTGTCACTGTGCTAGGGGTGAAGGGTGCCAGGTGAGTTGTATGCATGGGGAAAGGGGACATGGGGACAAGAGATGAACTCTGGCTCTGGCTATATTCAGAGTATTTTCTTGCTGCAATGTTGGGGGTGAGGTGTCTCACTGACCCAGGTCTTCCTCCCCAGAAGTCGCTCCACAAGACAGTAGCCTCCACTGAGACAGGGAAGGAGAAAGACCTATTATATGTCTCCATCCTGGGCTCAGCCTGTACTGGCTGGAAGCTGTGAGATATGAGGTCAGCCAGATAGGTTCCTGGCCCAGGCTTGGAAATGAGCCTATGGGACATAGGGTCTGGCCTCGAGAGTCCTGGCTTGGAGCTATGCCCCAGCTGACCACATGGCCTTGGCCAAGTCACCTGCCTCATGGGTAGTTTCCTCCTGTGTAAAAATGAGGGTTACCCTGACCATCCTGCAGATGTGGTCCCACAGGACAGGCCTGTGCACACTTCAGGGCACAGTCAGTGCTTCTTAAGTGCATGGTGAAGGTTGTAGAGGTGACCATGGTCCTATGGCTGCCCTCATCAATACCTCGTTTCTCCTATGCATGCTGCAGACAGGAGCACTGCAAACCCAGCCACAGCATCACCGAGAGTCACTATGGAGGCCCCAGTCCTCCCTACATCCCCAACCACAAGCTTGTTCCCCCCGAGCCAGCAGGGAAGAGCCTGTCTGTGGGTAAGAGAGCATCAGTGGGCACTACCCTCCAAGGGGACCCAAGGGATCGACACTAGGGCCTAGCTTGGGGTTGGGGCTCTGCCTCCTCAAGATGGCCCTGCCCACCACCAGGGTCTCTCTCTCTTTCTCAGCCACAGGGGAGCCAAAGGAGGAGGGGCTGGAGGGCCAGATAAGCCGGTTGGCAGAGCTGATTGGGAGACTGGAGAGCAAGGTAGGCCCACCACAAACCTGCTTCACCTTTCTCCTATCCTCTTTTGCTTCCTGGGGAGGTTGAGGTCATGACAGAGGCACCCTGTAGAGCTGGACCGAGGCCATGGTCCTGACTTTGGGCGGGCGGGCAGCATTCCGGGTACAGAGTAATAAGTAGGCTCCTGTGCTGTGGACATTTTCAAGAAAGCCAGCTCCAAGACAGGAGACAAAAAGCAGATGTAAGTGGGACTCTGCAACTGTTGAGGGCAGGTTCCAAACAGGAGAGTGCCGAAAACGCAATACAGTCCAGAAGTATGGAGCTAGGGACAGTGTGTTAATTGGCAGGACTCCCAAAGGGGTTTGCAGATGGGTGGGCTCAGGCGTTCCTCTGTTGGAGCTGGGTGTCTGCTCTTGGGCTGTGAGTCAGTGGCTTACTCTCTCTGCGCCCAACACTTCTGCTCTGATGACAGTGGAGACATCCAGACCAGTGTTCCTCACCAAGGCGCAGGTGGCTCCGGTCAGAGTCTGATGTCCCCGTTAGCATCTAACCTTAGTCACGTTAGCACTGTTGTCATCCTTTGCCAAACTCCCCACATGCGCACAGGGCTCCCACACACATGCTTACACCAAGTGACAGTTACCTCGGAGCCCTGGGATTGAGGTAACGTTTCTTCTGTTTTTATGTATTTCTTTTGCAAGGAGCTCTGGTACTTAGTTGAGTTGGGGCTTTGTTCTGAGGGATGAAGCAAGGGCCTTCTCACTGGAAAGAGTCTGGTGAGAGGAAGGGCTGCTGACGGCTGAGCTGCAGGGCTGTGACTGAAGCGGGGGTCCCCTCCCACACCCCTTTTAAGCCTGCTGCCCTGCCCAGGGTGAGAGCAGCATGGTGGGGACCTTGTGCCCGGTTGTCATAACAACTCAGTGGGGGCCCCAGGAGGGAGGCTCTTTGAAGCTTATTTTTAGTGCCCCGGTCGCCCTAACAACCAGGCTTGCTGGTAACCAGGAGCACCTAGGCATCCTGGAGATGGGGCGGGGTCCTCCAAGGTCTCTGATTGGCCTAAGCCATTAGTATTGGCAGATTCAAGCCAGCTCCGGGCTCTCCCCCCACCCTCCAGCTAGCCAGGCAAGGCCTCTAACTGTGCCTGGATGCTCTCCAGGAAGGATGGAGGTCCTTGGTGGCAGGTCTGGGTGCTGCTGGGCTGGCCATCTGACTGTGGAGAGGCCAAAGGGTTCCTGGTGGGTCCCCAGCCTACCTAGAGCTGCCCTGTACGTGTTAAGTGACAGAAGCAAGCTTGAACCTGCGAAGACATCTTATCTACTTGGCACGTTCTTGAGATGTATGGACAAGAGGTCAGTGGAGGGTAGAGGTGTGACTCAGAGGCAGGCCCTCGTTCAAACTCGAGAACCGCCCACCCTCCCACTGCTGTTTTCTTTAACAATGGATGCACCTCTTATTTATGTGTAGCTGTCTTCAGGCAGGGCAGACAGGCACAGAGGCTGGGATTGTGGGGTACCCATATTGTAGGAAGAATAGATGAGGCATAGATTTAAACCCAGGCCCTAATGCTTAACTCATCGAGGGACCATTGAGAGCCCAGGGCTCTGTGCTGTGACGTAGCAATGACTGAACATCGTGCGTGCTGGCCCTGTCTTGGGTACCAGGTACTGGTGGCCCACAGAGCTGGTGTGACTTCTGCATTCCGGAATCACACAGCAGGCAGCAGCTGGCTCAGGGAAGCTGGGAAATGAGATTTATACAGAAAGCTTTGGTCAGGGCTTCAGGTGAACATCATGCAGGCCATTCCGTGCAGACCATGGGTTCACGGGGAACCCAAGGGCACTGCTATGGGTGAGGTCAGCAAGTTATGGGTCTTAGGGTTCTAATGAAATCTTGGTAAAAACAGTATCCTGATTTTGGGCTAGCCCCCTGAGTCCCTGTTACTGTCTTAAGATTTCCCATACACCCCAAGTTTCTTGGGAGCCCACCTTGGTCTCTGAGACTCCTAGTGCTTCAGAGGCCTGGGCCACAAGGAACTCACTGCCATTTCCCTGACTCGCTGACTCCAGGCCCCTCTAATGCTGCTCTGTGTCTGGGAGCTAACCTTGTCCACTAGGCCTGGCACATTGGGACAGGGACTGTAACTCTGGGGGTCCCAGGTACCCCGTGTCATGGGTGGGTCCTTGGGAGCCTCCCTGGAGGTGGCCTGCATCACAGGCACCCTGGTGCTTTGTTCTAGACCCTCTGGTTTGACCTGCAGCAGCGCCTCTCAGACGAAGAAGGCACTGACATGGTAAGTCCCTCCCGCCCCTCCTCTGACCTGTTCCTCCAGCCCTCTGAGGAATGTTATAGCTCCATGTCTCTGGCCACCCTTCCCAGCCTTCCCTCCCCAAGGGGCATGGTGAGCCAAGGCTCCAGGACTCTGGTAAAAAAGCATCTGGCCTAGAACAGAGCAAACATCTGGTCCACTCTGTCACCAGACTGCATTTGGTCAGAAAGGCAGCCTGCCAGGCATCAGCTATGCCTCTGGACAGGGGTGCCTGCAGCTTTCCTACTTCCCTGTTTGTGGAGCTCCTCGGGGACTTCATCCATTTGGCCCTGCCCTCCTTTAGGTGATTTGCGGTTTTATTTTGACCCTATTGTCTCGACCTCTCAGAAACAAGGTATGGGTTGCTGGGCTTTGGACTGTGTTCACGTGGCTGGGGAAGGGCCCGGCACACATGTTCACCCTCACTTCGGCCCACAGCACCTGCAGCTGGTCCGACAAGAAATGGCCGTGTGCCCTGAGCAGCTGAGTGAATTTTTGGACTCCTTGCGACAGTACCTCCGGGGTACTGCTGGAGAAAGGAACTGTTTCCAGTAAGTGACAAAGCTAGAGGGGGTATGATCAGGGCCTCTGGCTGGCAGTGGGTGGGTGGGGGTGAACCTGGCAGAGCCAGCCCTCTCCTAGGGCAGGCACATGACAGGGAAGCTAAGAAAGTGAGGCTCAACCTTATTCCAGCTGTAGGAGGTAGTGGACGAGTTCACCCCCAGAGCTGGGCCCACGCATCTGCCAACCCCAGTGTATAGGGAGGGTAACTAGAATAACGTGTTGAGACGAGTCACCACTGTTGCTCACACAACGGAGCCTCCAGGTGTGTCTTCCGGAATGCAGGTCACTGGGCCCCACCCACTCCTGTCCTGCCAACCCTGGGTAGCTCAGCAAGGTGAAGCAGAGGACTGTGGCCTCCAGGGAGGGGTGTACACATAGCTCCCGAGAGAGGGTGATGTGGTTTGATTGGACAAGTGATAGGGGAGGAGCCTAAAGAAGGTGCCAGAGGCTCTGTGTTGGGATGGCGTCATGGGGTAGGCAGGGGATGACTGACCTTTGACCTCCAGAGAAACTTGATAAAAGATCACCCCATCAATTGCACAGGAGAGGCCAGAGTACAGCCACATTGACTGTGGAAGTCATGTCAGCTTCTTGGTGCCCATGGGTGTGCCGTGTGTCTATCTGGAGGTCCCCAGTGAGGACAGGCTCAGTGAGGTGGTGTACAGATGGTCTTTTTTCTTTGCTGTTCTGGGACTGAGCCAAATCTCTTGTGGATGCTGGGTGCATGGCATCTCTCAGCCACATCGCAGCCCTTGCCATGGTTCTTAGAGGGGAGGGGATCTTCACCCTGTGGTCTGGACACCCCCTTATCCTCACCTGGGCCTTCCTGGCTCTTTTGCCCCTCCCATCCCAGTCCTTCTTAAGGACAGGACCCTGGCTCAGGGACTGTACAGTGGTGCACAAGGTTTCCTCATTTTGCCCTCCATACCCAAGCTTGTCCGGCTGTGTCTTTCTGCTGGAAATCCCTGCCTGAGAAGCCAGCAGTCAGACAAAGGTGTTACCTGACTGACTGTCATCATCCTGTGGTAGCCACACTCCTGTAGTTCCAATTGTCCGTGCTAACCTTTGCGATGTGTACAGAGACCAGAGTGGGCACCTGCCCTGGCTGGCATGGAACCTTGGGCTTAGGCTGGCAGGTGTCCCCATCCACTCAAGAGCCTGAGGCTGGTACATGAGTCACATTCCCTCACTTCTCATGAATGACTTGACTTGTCACCTCCTTGAGGGGCTCAGGTACACATCTGCCACATGTGGGAAAGAAAGGCAGCTCGGCTCCAGGAAGAGCTGGTGGGAACAGGACCAGCACTGAGTGGACCCTTAACTCCACCAGAGCCCACAAGTTCACAGAGCCCCAGTCACCAGGATCTTCCTCATCTGAAATGGAGTGACATCCCAGGTCATTCAAGGGACTTGCCTGGGCTGCGGGTCATTTAGTCTGGGGTAGTCCACCCTGAGTTTCAGTGTCCTCTTGTCAGCCCAGGTCTGGGCTTCCTGCGGCTGTCTTAAAGACCAAAAGAGACAGAGTGAACAGGACACAAGCCGGGTGCTGTGGTTTGACAAGCAGGTGTTTTGCATGTAAATCTCTCTCTCTCTCTCTCTCTCTCTCTCTCTCTCTCTCTCTCTCTCTCTCTCTCTCTCTCTCTCTCTCTCTCTCTCTCTGTCTCTCTGTGTGTGTCTATGTAGGGCAGAGTTCAGTCTTGGGTATTGTTCTTGAGTTGAGTGAGTACTCAGCATGTGTGTGTGTGCGTGCACGCGCGTGCGTGCGTGGCGTGTGTGTGTGTGTGTGTGTGTGTGTGTGTGTACACGTGTGTACACTAGGGATTGGGGAATGGGGGTGTTTGTCTTAGGGTTTCTATTGCTGTGATGAAACACCAAAAGCAAGTTGGGGAGGAAAGGGTTTGTTTCATTTATCTCAGTCCATCAGTGGAGGAAGTCAGGACAGGAACTCAATCAGGGCAGGAACCTGGAGGCAGGCGCTGATGCAGAGGCCATGGAGGGTGCTGCTCACTGGCTTGCTCTCTGGGGCTTTCCCAGCCTGCTTTCTCATAGCTCCTACTGAGACTAAATAAGAAAATGCCCTACAGGCTTGCCTACAGTCAGACCTTACGGCATTTTCTCAGCTGAGTTTCTCTCCTTTCTAGCTTGTGTCAAAGTCAGGACAGTATCCAGGAGATACTCCTCTCCTCCACTGTGCAGGTCCCGGGAATCAAACTCAGGGCATCAGGCTATGTTTCAAGCACCTTCATCTGCTGAGCCACCTTACTGGCCCCAACCCTGTTTTCCTGAGGCAGGACCTTCAGTATTTTTTCACAAGGATTCTGGGGGTTAAACTTAGGTTTTCACAGTCATGTGCCGACCGAGCCATCTCCCCAGCCCCCAAAGCCAGATGTTTTAAATCATCTGAAATCCTGCTTTCATTGTGGGCCTTGGTGCTATGCCAGGTGGCCTTGCGGCTGCCCCTGGAGACTTGGCATCATCATGGTCAGTAAAATAGCACCTGCCATTGGGCTGAGCCGCACTCTTGGCCGGGATAACCTGGGGTCTCCAGCTCCTGTTGTCCGGGGGATGGCCAGTGGGGAAGATAGAGGTTGAGACGGTGACGTGCATCTGTGGGCAGTGGGCAGCCGCTGCCAGCCACAGGTAAGCGCATCACTCCCCTGCAGTGTCGCCGCGGTGAGGATGGCAGATGGCCTCACCTTCGTCATCTATGAGTTCTGGGAGACAGAGGAAGAGTGGAAGAGGTAGGTACAGCCTTGTCCTGACCCCATGCCGGGGGTTGGGGCTATGGTAAGATGGGGATGGCTGGCTCTAAGTCCCTGCCCCTTGACCCTGAGGCCCTTCAGAGGAGAAGGTGGGGAGGGTGATGAAGAGCGTGGCTGCTGGTCGCAGAGACCTCTACATCCGGGCAAGCAGGCAGGGTGCTTAGTGAGACCCCTGACCCAGGCTCTCCTTATGGCGCCATGCATGTAAATCTCTGCTCTGAAGACTCCCATTTCCCACAGCTCCCTTCCCCCTGCCGCTCAGCATCTGCCTGCATCATGGGTGCTGGGTCTGGAGCCTCGCTGTCAGAGGTGCTGCTGAGTGCTTTGCGGCACCACAGGGGTACTGTGCTGGTTCAAAGCCCAGCCCAGGCACTTCACTGACCTCCCCAGATGGAGACACGGAACGGCAGAGGTTTCCAGTTCCCATGTACAGCCCCAGCACAGGAAAGACAGAGGGGGTCACTTTTGTCCCTGTTGGGCTATGAGACTGAGGAGACCCAGGTGCTGCAGGGAGGAGTGAGCACTCAGGGCTGGCTAGCAGACAGGGCTCAAGCCTCCTGGGGCCGCAGTGCTGTCATCTGCACGGGATTCAGTCCTTCCCCTGTGACTGCAGCTTTAATCCGGAGGGGAAAGGGCGGGGCTAGAGGTCTGAGCTTGTTCCCAAGGGCAGTCTAGAACAAAAGGCCTTCCCGGATGGATGCTCACAAGGTCACAGCCCCTCCCCCAGACAGAGCAGGACTAGATCTGGGCCCCCACCTAACGTTCCCCTCACCCCTATCCTAAGACACACCCCTGGACTAATCTGTGCTCCTGGCTTGCAGGCACCTGCAGAGTCCCGTGTGCAAGGCCTTCCGACACGCCAAGGTTGACACGCTGAGGCAGCCTGAGGCCCTCTCTCAGATCTCTGTGCCAGGTAGTGGGGCCAGAGACAAAACAGCCACTGGGGTCTCTGAACAGCCCCGGCCACCGTGAAGGGCCCCAGCCCTGCAGGAACTTCCCACTCATCACCAGGAACCCTGGTTCAGCTCTATGCTCCTGAGCCAAGACTTGGTGACTAGACAGAGACAGGGTGTGGCCAGGGCACCAGTGGTACATGTGGGGGTTCACGTGAGACAATTAGGAAGTATGTCTGCCCAGAGAAAACCTAAGACTCCCACCCCACAGCCAGAGCCTGAGTGAGCAGCGCAGGGTCTCAAAGTCTGGCCTGGAACTCTACTCAAGGCCTCCCCATACCCACTCTACCTACTCCTGCCTGCAGCCATCCCAGCCTCCATGGAAGGGGCCTTGATTCCCCACAAGCCCGGCCACTAACCACCGCTTCTCTCTCCTGCTTCCAGCTGCCTGGTGCACTTCGGGCCGAGACTGAGTCCTCCTGTGGCCCTGTTAAGGAGCCTAGTGCCCCCACCACCACCACCACTTCTTGTAAAGGACAACACCCCTTTTCTAGAGAATTTGGTACGCAGCTGTCTTTTCAGTATACTAATAAAAGGATGTGTACTTCCCCCTGCTATGACATGGAGGCGGTCCCTCCCCTGGCATCCCATACCTGACTTGACCGGGCAGAGTGTACTGCTGGGATGCTGGTGAGGCCAAGGTTAGCAGGGATGGCTTCCCAGGCCAGCCTTCAACCAACAGCTTCCCACCCCAGCCTGCCTCTGGCCTCCCTGACTCCTGATGGCTGAGGCCCTGCGGGACCCACCTCGGATGGATGGGCCTCTTTCTCTGCTTCCCTCCTCCTTGAGGACCCTTCTACCTAGTGGGAGCTGTGACCCTGTAGTACCCAACGTAGGCTTGGGTAGAGCCCAGGTCCCCAGCACCATGCTAGGCCCACAGCCACCAAATAAAGTCTGTTTAGGAACAGTGTGTGTCTCGTTCCTGTCCCTTTCCCAGATGACCAGTCAGGACCACATGGAACTGAATGGGACTGGTCAGAACCGGATTGAACCGGTTGGAACCACAGTCAACTGAGCCCTCCTATGTCAGTTAATAATAAAGACTCATAGACAATGCCCATGGGCAAGTCTTACCTAGGCAGTTCCTCAATTGACAGCTCTTCCCAAGTGACTCTAGCTGGCATCAAGTTGACACAATTTACCAACACAAACTGTTCCCATCGGAGCCGTCTCTGGTCCCCTGTATCCACAATTTCGCATCCAGGATTCAGCTAACCACAGGCTGGAGTGACAGGCTCTGTCGCACAGCTCCTCAGGACCCCTTCAGCTTACTGCCTGCCTCACTTGCCAGCTGCCTTGATGCTGGACTGATGAACACCCAGGCCCTCATAGCATAGAGGGGAAAGAGATCTGAAGTGTCTTTTGTTTTTATATATTTTAAATCATTTTCGTATGTCTTTAGAATTTTAGCTTCCATATCTTCAGACCTTTATGTATCTTAAAACATTTTCTTTCCATCTAATCACTTCTCAGAGACGAGGAGTTATTATTGAGAGAAGCCATTGCAAAGCATGTTTCTTTAGTGGAAAGTTACAGCTGACCTCTGTTTGTCCTTTAATGTGAAGCCTGCGAACAAGGCAAACCTGTCTGCCTTTTCTTAACAACAGACATAGTGGGTCTACATGAACCGACAAGGTGGCTGCAGCCTTGCGGGAAGGAGCTGGCTGCCGCCTGCTGCTGAACTGACAAAGCTAGTTAGTTACTGTAATTAATTACATTAGCACTTAACATGACTGCAGGTATAGTTCATCTTTAACAGTTTATAATAAAATAATTTCTGAATCCAAGCTCTTTTTCATGAATACAGTCAGTTCATAGGAAGATTGGCAACTTTATTTTCCTGATCCTTACATCGGAGAAACCCCAGGTGTAAGAGTTGGTGTTTTCCTAATTAAAGGTTGATGCCAGTGGGGCAAGGCCGGGGCTGTAAGCCAGGACTAGAGAACAGGATGTATCTGTGGTCATCAGCTGACAAGCAATGCACAGAGATCAGTGGGGGCTGGGGCCCAACAATTTGGATACCTATTACATTACGTCCAGTGGCCGGAAGGCTCAGAGAGAATTTCTGAGTCCCCAGCCATCACTGGCTGCAATAGTAATAGCTGAGCTGTAACAAAGAAACATAGGACACAGTAAGTGTGGTGATATTTTGTTTGTGCTCTAACATATAAAGCTTGCTTGAAGACCAGAGGGTGGAGCTAACTAACCACTGGTTAACCGTAGAGGCCAGGCAGTGGTGGCACACACCTTTTTTATTTGTTTGTTTTTGTTTTTGTTTTTTGAGACAGGGTTTCTCTGTGGCTTTGGAGTCTGTCCTGGAACTAGCTCTTATAGACCAGGCTGGTCTCGAACCCACAGAGATTTGCCTGTTTGTGCCTCCTGAGTGCTGGAATCAAAAGCATGCACTACCACCATCTGGCTGGTGGGTGATTCCATTGTTATTATTATACATATATGCTTGCAGAAACATACTCAGCTTTGACTCAAGAGATCTGAGTTACTGCCAGACAGGAACCCCTTTCAGGCTGAGGAGTTGGCCAGGTAAGAAGTGGCCTTGGCTTGCTCCTTTGTCTTTGATCTTTCAGCATTAACCCCTATATATGTCTCTAGGTTTTTATTATTAAGACCAATTAGAATTCATGCTATAAGTAAGCTCACACATTCAAAAGAAACCACTCAGAAACAAACATGAAGTGGCCACCTTCATACATTCAGAACACACAGACAAACTTTCCTTAACCTCCTCCAAGGTTGCAATTTGGGGGGAGGGTCACCTTGGTAGCCACTGCAGCTGAATCTAATTCCCAGCTGGCAGAGTGGTACTGTAGCGGGGCCAGCCACCGGGACCCTGGGATTTTCAAAGTTGCCCACCATCCCCAAGTCAGAGCATACAACGACAGGTACATCCACAAGACAAGACAGAGTCTAAGTGACAAAGAAAAACATAGAGCCAAATGACAACAGAAAACATAAGACAACATTTAAAATTGTTTGATCACCAGTTTGATCAAGAGAAATTTAACAGATAAGAGGTTTCAGCTGTCTCCTTGCCCAACCCCTGGTCTGTCTGATATCCTTGTACTGGGCCTCTCCAAACTCCAGGTTTGGCTCCCAGTATCCTGGGATGTCTTGGTTTTGTTATGTAATCCAGGTGTTGGAATCCCACTGATGAACACCCATATTCCTGGCCTCTCTGATACACTTGAGTATACTGGCCCCCAGAGTCACTAGGGTGTTAGCAGGTCAGAAAAAAAAACCATGGTGACTCTGTCTGAACCTCCCAAGAAATGACCAACAGGCTGTGGGACATCTCTCTTTGCCTGGAATGGGGTGCCTAAACCTCATAAGGTCCTCCCTATTCCAGATCAGGGTACCCCATAACCAGAATCCAGAAATCAGGCAGGAAAGTGTCATAGGAAGCTAAAAAGTCTCCTATGCCTTACCAAAAAATGTTTGCTATCACATTTTCCAAGCCTGGCTATTCCCTGGGGGGGGGGTCAGGGAGGGAGTGGAGTTTTGGATTAATATTCCAAAGTGTGTCCCACTGGGGCAACCCACCAGCCCCAGAGTGAAATGCATGAGCATTTGGGGTGGAATGGTCTTTCTTATCTCACTGGGGCCTCAAAATGTTAATCCTGAGATTGGCACAAGAAAAACCAGTTCCACAATTTTGAGCTAATTTGAAGTAAGCTTTAATTAAATACTGACCAAGATGGACTCTGGTCAGGTTCACTCTCTGGAATCCTAGTGAGTAGCCACACGATGCATGTTGTAGGGGCTTTTAAAGAAGGGAACCATGTGGCTGTCGCATTACCCCCTGTGACTTTATTTCCCAGGAACTACAACTCCCAGCATTCCAGAAAGTTACTGGTCCTTGAACAGGTAGGGGCTTCCAGGTTGACTTTGGCTCTTACACTGGAGCTTGGCAGACAGTAGTGTTAAGAGCAATATGAACTATGGAGACGCAGCTCAAGAAGTTTCAGAGGGGAACAATTACCAGCAACTGGACTAGAGACCATTCTTGTGATATCATGGCTGATTTTTGCACTTGTCCTAAGAACATTCTGGAGGCTAAATTGAAGAGTTTCAGATTACTTTTATTAGCAGAGAAGATTTCAAGACAGCCCAATATTGGGTCTACCCCACGGTTGTTAGTGATCACTCTTATGCAGGTATACAATGACAAAAAGCAAAAAGGACAAAAAGGAATACAAAATATACAGTTTGAGGAGAAAAAGGGCATTGGGAAATTCAATGTTGGAGCTGTGAGTTGTGCTGAAAGAGAAAAGGAGGGCTGGAATAAAGGAAGTGGTACCCTCAGGGTGAGGCCCCACCAAGATAATCCTGCTTTTAGGAGCAGAAAATCCTTCAGGCCTCTTGTGAAAGGAAGAGGCCTGAAGGGTTTTCTGCTCCTAAAAAGCATCAACAAATCAAAGATTATGAAATGTAATTCACAGAGAGGGCCAGACTCCATTCCAAGTAGGCAGCAGAACTTGGCAGCATCCGTTGTGCGGTTTTTGGCTTTCGAGTCATGAAGGATACAGGAGTAGGCAAGCAAATGCATTGTGGAATCTCCCTCTGTGAAAGGCCAGGTGTATGGCAGGGGAGTTTCTGCATGGAAGCCCTGTGAGGCTATCACGTGAGCTGTGAAGATGAAGAAGCCTGGACTGTCTGGAGACCACAAGATGTTGGTGGTGTCAAAGTAATGGGTGTCTGCCAGGGAGAGCTGTGTGCAGGGAGTGGAACCAGCCCAAGAGAGAGAAGTGTGTTGTTGTTGGCAAAGCTGGAAGAGCAGAGTCATCTAAGCCCTTTAGCATCAGACATAAAGTTGTAGGGTTTGGAGTTTGCCCCGATGGGTTTCGATCTTGCTTTGGTCCATATTTCCCCACTATGTCCCTATCCCTCCCTTTTGGAATAGTAGTGTATATGCTGGGCCATTGTGTGTTGGAAGTATGCAGGGGGTTGTATAAGAGATGAGGCTCAGAAGAAACTTTGGACTTTTAAACTGTTGAGAATGAAAAAATAATGTGGTGGGAGATGTTGTCCGCAAGAACCAAAGTGGAGAAGCCAGGGACTCAAGGCAGCCAAGCACTTGAGTGCAATTTGCACGACAAGGCTCATTTTTATTTTTACAGCTCCTTTGGTAACAAAGTGAGTTTATAGTTGCAGAAAAACCTGCCTTACAGCCTAGCATGTTCAAGGTTATGTAAAGCACAACGATGTTATTTGTCTTTAGAAAACTGTCTGAGGTGTGGGAACATCATTTACCATTCTCTAGAAACTTAGGAAGGTCACAGGCATTCCTGTGTTCCTTGTCACATTTGTTGGAATTCTAAATTTACTTCTTGAGAAATATCAACATTGGATGTTCCCATGGCTGTGTCACAATTTCACTATATCCTCATATAACCTTAAGTCAAACCCCAATAATGGACTTTTGACATTGGACTGCATGCATTTTGCATTATGATATAACGACAAGCCTATGGGGTCAGGGAGGGAATGTGGTGGTTTGAATGAAAATAGCCCCCAAAGATTCATATGTTTGAGTGCATGGTCTCAAGTTGGTGGAACTGTTTGCAAAGAACTAGGAGGTGTGGCCTTGTTGGAGGTGGGCTTTGAGGTTTCAAAAGTCCACACTATTCCTAGTGTGTTCTCTCTGCCTGTGCTTGTGGATAAGGATGTAATCTACTGCTCCAGCACCTGACTGCCAAACTCCCTGCCACCATGGCCATGGACTCTAACCCTCTGAAAATGTAAGCCTGCAACGAACCCTTCTGTAACTTACCATGAGCATGTGTGTGTCTCTTCACAGCAATGGAACAGTAACTAAGACACACATCCTCAGTAACTAAAAGGGGGCACAGCCCGTGCAGAAAAGAGCTTCCTAACTTGAGATGGGCCCAGCCTGGGTAGTTGGCATCCTACTTGGTAAAGGGAAACTTAAACAGAGACACACAGGACAGGTATTGATCATGTAACCATGAATACAAAGACTTGAATGACACATCTACAAATTAGGAACACTAAAGACCTCTTGCGACCATCAGAGGAAGGAGCATTCCAGAGCCTTCTGGGGCACACACACTCTAGCTAACACTCCAGCTCTCAGTAGCATGAGTACCGATTGTCCTGAGTCACCGGCTGGTGGTAACTTGTCACAGAAGCCCTTCCTCACCAGGATCCCAGAAGCCAGCCATAGGAGGAGCACAGCTCAGTAGGCAGCCAGCAGGCAGGACAAGAATCCACAGGGTCCTCAGGCCGGAGCCCAAAGGCCTCTCAGAGCAGCTCCAACACGGCCTCAGCTGTGCTCTGTCCAAAGATGAAAGTGCCCACCAGCACGGAGAGGGTGCCCCAGGCCTCCAGGCAGCGCCTGCAATGCAATGTGCCTGGTTGTGTGGCTGGCACTGTGCAGTGCCACATGGTGCTGGCACGACAGAAGTGTCATCAAGTCAACTCCCCTGAGATGACCAGCTTTATTTCAACTTGACACAAGCCAAAGTCATGAGATGGGGGGCAGCTCAACTGAGGAAATGTGTCCCTAGTGTCCAGCTGTAGGCCATTTTCCTAACTGGTGATCAATGGACCAGCAAACGGCAGGGTTCCAGAGAGATCACGGCTGCATTAACAGAGGCCAGAAGGAACTGTCACCAGAGAGGGACATCTCTGGCTGAGCAACGTCAGCTCCCCACCCCCCATAAATCCACAGGACACAACACCACTTGCCAACAGGTGGGAAAGACAGAGGGCAGTTTCAGAAAACCGTCTTGAAAGTCTATGAATGAACAACGTTGAACTTGTCCAGGACAATAATCCACAGGTGCTCCTGGGACCAGCCAGTCTGGGGACCAGACAGCTAGCTTACAGAAGTCCAAAGCAACCCCTGTCAGGACAGAAGCAATGCCTGCTCTCCTGGACAAAACAGACCTTGGGCTCACAGGGGCTGAGAGATGGGGGCTGGGAGGGCCCTGCAGCAGGCACCCACATCCATGGCTATATAAGCCATGGGCACCTGAAATGGGCTGAGTGGTGCCACACATCACATGCTAACATGGGACTGGGGCCTTATCCAGAACAGGGTCTGTGTGTGTGATTAAGAGCAGGGTGCTGGGGCCTGAGTCCATGGACAAGTGTCTTCCTAAGGGAAGGGTGATAGGGGGTTGAGGCCCATACTACAGCCATGCTGGCTGATCAGCCCATCTCAGGACTGCTTCCAGAGCCCACAGAGTGCATTCGTGCCAGTAAATGCCACCCTCCAGGCTGTGGCCATTCCCTGCAGAAAGCTAGCCCTGTATGCTCCCATCTGCCTCGGCGTGTTTCCACAGCTGTGCAGTGGTAATCAAGAGGGTGGGCGAGCAAGGGAATTCAGATCCCAGGGTCTGAGCTGGGGCTGGCTCTCTCCTCCCCAGCCTCCTGAGCTACCCCTTCATCTGTGTGGTGGAGATAGGTATGTGTGTGGGGGGTCTAGATTAGAGGACCCCACCTCCACAAACCCCTGGCAAGATCTGCTACCATGATGGCACAGCAGGCAGGCCTGAGTTCTGTTAGCCACCAGACCTTCTGACTCAGGACCAGCCTGTGCCCTGCTCCTGAGCCAAGCTTCAAGGAGGTGTAGCCTGGGCCACTGGAGGGGAGGGGGGAAGGGGACACCCTAAACAGACAGGAAGTTCCAAACACAGAGCCTGGAATATAATATGTACACACTGCTGAAGGCCAGCCGGGGATCTGTGTTGCTCTCATGCATGCATGCGTGCTCACAGGACAGTGAGGCCACACCACCATCTCTGGTTTCCCAGGTCTGGGAGAACACATCATTCCAGCTCACAGCCCCTGAGGACACCCTAGGTTCCACCCTCATCTTGGGGGTCACTCACTTGACTCTTGGTCCCATGGGCTCGGTGTCCACAGCACAGATGAGGCACAAACCTGCAGAGAAGACACGAGGTCAACTTGGCTCTCCCTTACTGAACTGGGGGCACAGAGGGCTGCCAATGCCCAGCGGTCCTCAGGTGGCCAGTGGGAAAGTGGTACATCTGGAAAGGTAGTATGGCACAGTGGTTAGGGGGCCAGTTTGGAGTTAGTGAGAGCTCCAGCTAAGCACCCCTAAAACGATTTCCCTGAACAGCATAGCCTCTCGGGCCTCTGCCTTTCAGGGGCAGGAACTTGGTTGATACCCAGTCCTGGGATGCATCCACGGAGCTGCATGGTGCCTTCTCTTTCTTTCAGACAGGGTCTTGCAACACAACACAGACTGGCATAGAATTCTCCATTCCCCTGCCTTAGCCTCTCTGTCGCTGGGATAACAGGCAAGTGCTACTGTGCTCAGCTTCACTACCCTCCTCTTCCTCCTCCTCCCCCTCCTCCTCCTCTTCCTCAATTCTTTAATATTTTTAGGCTGGGAGATAGCTCAGTTGGTGAAGTTCTTGCCTGGTAAGCACAAAGAGAACCAAGTTTAATTACCTAGAAACAGTATTACAAAACAAAACAAAAGAGCTGCTATGGGGCTGGGCGGCCGGCTCAGTGGGTAAAGCACTTGCCATGCAGGCATGAGGACTGCAGCTCAGCTCCCTGAATTCAAACACTGGTGATGCGGTAACCCGCCTACAATCTCAGCATATGGCTGGCACAATGGGCCAGCTAAAATGGCAAGCTCCTGATTTAGCAAACACATAGGGTGGAAAACAAGTAATGAAGACACTCAATCAATCTTGGGTCTCCACTTGCATGCACACACATATGTATGTGCTTCCACACACGTGTTATATGCAAAAAGAAGAAGGAGGAGGAGGAGGAGGAAGGAAGGAAAGAGAAAGAGGAGCCAGGTGTGTGGCATAGGCAGATTCCTGGCAGTGTCCCACCCCTCACCTCTTTTTAGCCGGGACTGTACTTTAGAGCTCCAGAGCTCTGGCCTGGCATGCATGAGTCCTGGGTCATGCGGCATCAGTTCTGTTCAGTTTCAAAGCCTTTCAGTTCCGCCTGGAGCTTCCCAGGAATGGCTCCCACACTGACTCCCCCCCCCCAAGCAGTTCCCTGGGGCACAGGCAAGAGCTGAAGCTTTGAAAAGGCTCTCCTGGGGCCTGAGTCAGACTTGAAAGAGGTGGCCTCAGAGCAGGGAGTTGAAAGAGGCAGGCACCATGAAATTCTTCAGACTCTACCCCAAACCAGAGTGAACAGTGACACTCTCTGGCCTGGCTTCAAGCCATGTAGAGCTGCGGCATCCAATGGTTTTACTACTGCCTCAGAGACGACCTGCGTTGGCATCCAGAACATCGGGCCATAGTTCAGCATGGGGCCATCATCTCTCAAGTTCAATATCTACCTAATACAGCTCTCCTCATAGCAGAATTGCATAGTGCAGACACGTTAGGACTACTGTGTGCTGTGCACCTACTGTGTGCCCAGGCCCCTATTGTATGTTGAAGCCTGGAAACAACGCTGAAGTTTTTCTCCAGTCTCACCCCTGCTGGCTTTCCCATATGGAGAGTACACCTGCCCGTGTCCCCTGGAACTTACCACCTCAGCTCATGTACACTGGGAAGGCTCCCTCATCACTGCAGAACATGGTATGTGACTCAGCAGCCAGGTGTGGGGCCAAGAAGACTCCCATGGAATGCTCATTTGCACCGTGAGCCTTGTGAGTGTCACACACAGTGTCTTAAAATAATCAGCTATCCCCACGATAAACCACTTGTGGGATGAGACGATACAGCACATCCATCTAGGGTTGTTGAGCCACTTAGCCAGGAAAGGTCTGGAAAGCCTGGCCCATACCGGGCTCCGTAACCTAGGCCCTCATCCAGCAAGGATCCCACCTCCAGATCCTGCAGACCAGCGGTTCTCAACCTTTCTAAGGCTGCAATCCTTTGATAGTCCCTCATGCTGTGGTGACCCCCAACTGTAAAACTATTCTCATTGCTACTTCTGTAATTTTGCTACTGACATGATTCATAATGTAAATATTTTTGGAGATGGAGGTATGCCAAAGGGGTCATGACCCACAGGGTGAGAACTGCTGCTATAGACCAGGGATGAATGCGGGAGGATGGAGGCAGCCACTCACCGGGGAAGATGAAGATGAAGAAGGAGCTGATGCCACCGATAATACTGATGATCTCACTGAGGTCCGGCAGGAACAAGGCCATCACGAGTGTCACTGACACCCACAGGAAGGTCAGTGGCAGTCGAACCCATGGCCCTGAGGGGTCAGCCAGTACTGGAGGACCATGTGTGGCCCAGTAGCTCTTTTTCCAAAAGTCTTGCATTACAGACCTGTAGAAACACGAACACTGGTGCCCAGCCAACGCCTTATGGCTTCTGATCTCCTGGCTCCCATCAGTCCTGTACACAACAGGGTCTGCCCCACTCCCAGCCGAGCGTTCCCCAGGGCACCTCTCAGCCTCTGGGTCTGTAGGGGAGCGGGAGGGAAGTCGTGGCTCCAGGCCCTGTTCTGAGGCTTACTTGCTGGTCCACACCTAAACCCACTGTGTCTGTGCACCTCTCTGTGTCCATCGGAAGTGACCTCAGTCCCACTTGTACCCCTACCCACGGAGAGCCCAACCTATGGGGCACCAGGCTGAACAGACAGACACTCACCTCCCCAGGAACAGCACAATGGGGTAGACAGTCACAATGGAGACAGCAAAGAGGATACGTGCTACAATGATGGCTGTGTCATTGCCGGGGTAGGACATCAAGACATCAGCAGAAACTTCGGTCCCAAAGGTCAGGAAGCCATAAACCCCTGCAAGTGTAAGACAAGGTGGTGGGCATCTGCAATGAGAAAAATCCCACACACTTTCCCCCTCAACACCTTAAGGATTTCCTTTGCTATAGTTGGAAGGTTCTGGAGGGATTCGTTGTTCTGTGTCCCAAACACTCCTACAGACCAGCTGGTTGCTCACAGCTGGTGCCAGGGTTCAAATATGACCTTTGACTGGAAACCCCAGAGCCTTGGGAAATAGACACACACCTCTCACCTCCCATGTCCTCCAGTTCAGGCAACAGAAGCCAAGGAAGCAGCTGGTCCCATGCCCATCTTCTCTTCCAGATGGGAAAACCAAGGCCTAGACTATCCCTGATCCTCCACAATCACACAGCTGGCAGGGGCAGAAAGCTAGCTCCTTCCCACAGCACAACACTTCTACCTGTCCTGGAACTCGCTCTGTAGACCAGACTGGCCTCTAACTCATAGACATCCCCCTGCCCCTGCCTCCTGAGTGCTGGGATTAAAGGCATGAGACCACCACCAGCCAGTTTATAACACTGCTTTTTATCACCCAGGTCCTTTGTCCTGTCCTGAGACATTGCCTGGAGGCTCCTGTGATCCTACTGGCCCTGACACTAGGGATATCTGGAGATAATACAGTCATAGCCTTCAAAGCCTGGAACTGCAGAATGATAGGATTCACTGGGTAGGGAAAAGATCCCTGGTAAGTCCCTCAGGTGACCCTAGGAGTCCAAGGCTGTACAGCAGAGTCACTGCAGCCCAAGGCCTTCCAGATCAGTGGCTCCAATAGATGAAAGCAGGCAAGGCCACCAGGCAGTAGCCACTAAAGGTCACCAGTCCTGAGACCTGAGTCTGAATAGGCACATGCTGTGACCGTGGGCTTCTCATAACTCCCTGGGCCATGCTTTTACCACCTCTAACGGCCTCTGCCTACCTCACAACATTTGTGAGTACTCCAAGTACAAGTGTTTTGTAAACCTCTTCCCAGCTAAAACCTTGCCTCAATAGCATGGGAGATGAGAACAGGGGCATTGATTGAGACATTCAGGACATGTGTGGGTCTCAGCTTTGCACATCTTACTGTGGGACCTTGGAAAAGCCACCAAAGCCCTCTGAACCTCAGTCTCCCCATCTGCAACCTTTTCCTATGGGACACCATGGATTAAATGAGCTTCCTGTGCTCACAGCCCAGCACAGGAAGGGTCTCGCAGGAGCCTTGTCTTTTCCCCTTTCCGAGACTACTCCCTCCCCTCTGGGGCACACCCACAGGCCCTACCTGTCAGCGAGTAGACAAGGCAACAGGCCAGCAAGGACAACACAGAGACCAGGGCCCAGTGGGAGAGGCTCTGGTTCCTCATGCTGCAGTAGATGGATACTGCGGCCTCGTGACTCTGGAAAACAGAACCTGCAGCTCAGACCCTCCAGGGACAACTGCCGAGATGCTACACCCCAAAGCTGGGAAGTACCCGAGTGTCCACCAGCAGCATAGGCAAATCTCAGATGCTCACAAGTGGAGTACTATACAGCTCTTAAAAGGACTGACCTGACTCCCCACCTCAGTGCAGAAGAATCTCATGAAACAACATAAGGTTGAAGGAAAGGGAGAGGCCTGAAATTCAGATCATAAGACAAACATATTTATATTAGGGTCTAGGACATCCAGGGTCCAGGGTCCTTGGCATCACTGCTGTTGGCATTTGGGGGTGGATAATTCCTGCAGTAACTGCTGTCCTGTGGGTTGGAAAGCATCGAGTAGCATTCCCTGTATAGACGGCTGGATACCCATGCACATTAAAAAAAAAATCCAATAGTCCCAGATGGACACCATCAAGCTGCTGGAAACCCACATGTGTAGAAACAGGAGGACAGATCCATGGTTTGGGCGTGGTGGATGCTACTGATGAAGAAGGTGGTGAGGACACTCTGGGCAGGTCATGTGGAAAACCCATACTTAAGATTACACTTTAAAAAGAAACAAGTTCTGGGCCAGCAAGATGGCTTAGCAGGGCCTCCAAAGCCACAGAGAAACCCTGTCTCGAAAAAAAAAAACCAAAAAAAAAAAAAAAAAAAAAGATGGCTTAGCAGGTAAAGGAACCTGTTACCAAGTCCACTGCCCTGAGTTTGTTTCCCAGAACCCACATGGTGGAAGGAAAAAGTCGGCTCCCACAAGTCATCTTTTGACCTCTATACATTCATCATTACACACACACACACACACACACACACACACACACACACACACACACACACATACACACACACACAATAAAAACATTTTTAATGTGACATGCTATATATCATGATGTCAATTCTCTGTGTAAAACATGTAGCCAAGCCAATGCAATTTGGCTTTCTTCACCTGGTGAGGCCTAAGGCCTGGTGTCGCACAGCCGGTGAGGGACCCTGAGGAGCTCACAGTGTGGAGATGTTCATCAGGATGCAGCCCTACTGCCTACCGTACTCTCACCCTTGCCCCATCCCAAACAGAACTCTTCCCTCCCACGTGGCCCAAGCCCCCACCATGTGTGACTCTATCAGTTGGGAATCACCATCCCCAGCTCAGAACCGTGCCCGGGGAACACATGAGCATCTGCTGACGCCACTGGTGGCTAAAGGCCAAGGAACGATGGCAGCTCCAGCCCTCCATTACCCCACGTCTGGTTCCTACTTAGTGTGAGCTGGGGACCACAAGGCTCCTAGGGCCCTGGAGCACAGTGCAGTGGGGCTAGACATAGGCCTTGTTCCCCCTGGCCCTTCCCAGGGAAAGCACACATATGCTAACCCCAACCCATGAACCCAGGGCACCATCTGCCCTGAGCTTCTCTGATGGCCAGGAACCCCAGGCTGGGGGCAAGCTCAGCCAGGCAGTGGCGATTATACCAGATCCTTGGATGACAGTGGTGGGGCTCAGGGTAAGCCCTCCTTCCTGTGTCCAGAAGCACTTTTGTGTTTTCCCTGTGTACCTGCCACGACAGCCAATGGATCCGGCAGTGTCACTTAATACTCTTTCTCCACCCCTGTGGCTTCTGAAGGGACACTAGCCTCTTGGCCCCATCACAGGTTCTGCTCCTGCGGGGGACCCAGAGCACCAAGCCCCCACACAAGGTGAAGATGTACAGGGGCACAGACACATCTGGCAGCTTGCCTCCCCTGGGGACAGCAGTCAAAGCTCAGGGGAAGGGACACATGAGCCAAAGAGCATGACAGCCTCAGATGTGCAGCTGAGGCACAGGTCCACAGACCATGGCTCTCCACAGGACTGAATGGCACTTGGCTTTAAAAAGGAATTAGGCAAACTAGGCATGGTGGCACACGCCTTTAATCCCAGCACTCAGGAGGCAGAGGCAGGCGGACTTCTGAGTTTGAGGACAGCCTGGTCTACAGAGTGAGCTCCAGGACAGCCTGGGCTACCCAGAGAAACCCTGTCTCAAAAACAAACAAACAAAAAGAATGAGGTTTGTCTGACTCCCACGGTCCAGTGACAAGAGACATGGACCACTCATAGCAGGGAGACCCATGGACAGAGTAGAGCCATGGCCACTGAGGGCTGGCAAGAGGAAGAGGAGCAAGTTATGGGTGGCCACATGGCAACTCTGATCATGGCCACACTCTAGAAGGGCAGTTGTGTGGGGTGAGCTGAGCCTCAGTAAAGCTTTAAAACAAAATCTGCATAAGACCAAACTAGACTCCCTTAATATAGGTGACAATGGTGAGACTGGGACAATATGTGAGGCCACTGGCAGTGGGTCCAAGACCTAACTCTAATGCACAAACTGACTTAGTGGAGCCCATTCTATATGGAGAGATACCTTGCTCAGCCTAGACACAGGGTGTGGGGGGTGGGGAGGTGCCTTGGTCCTGACTCAGTGAGATGATGGGACAGACTTAGTAGACTTCCTAGGGGAGGCCTTACCCTCTCTGTGGAGCAGATGGGAGGAGGGGGGCGGTGGAGAGAAAAGGAGGAGAAGAGGGAGGGGGAACTGGGATTGGGATGTAAAACTAAATTAATAATAAAAACCCCAGGGGTGGCAGAGTGGCCAGGGTGGCTAGAGACAAAGTCTGCAGCCTCTGCTCCCCCAGGCCTCTCACTGATCCAGTTCAGTGTAGGATCAGGGGTGCCTTGTTTCTAAATGTGTTCAGGGAGAGGTGGTGTGTTTGAGTCCTGTCAGAAGTCCTGACGGCCATACGCCCTGCTGCCTTTCCTTCCTCACAGGCCAAGCGGCCAAGCTCTACCATCTTCATTCTCATAGATCTCCTCAGACGCCTGACTCTCAGATCCTCCGTCTACCCCTGGCCTGAGCCCCACCCCCACACTGGCAACTTGTCCTTCCCAGCCCCGCAGTCACTGCAGCCCTGGAAACCCTGGAAACCACAGCCTGGTTGCTAGGAGAACAAGGCGCAAGGAGGTCAAGGTGAGGGCCCAGAGTCTTGGTCTTGGAAGGTTTGCACAGGCTGCTCCTTGTTGACCACACCCGGGCGGGCGACAGCCCCAAGCAAAATCAGCCCCAGGCAGCTTCAAAACACCAAGTGTGTGAGCTTCTCAGGAGCCTCTCACAGGAATGACGCTGAGCCAGCTACTAGGTTGAGAAATGGCAGTGTTACAGGGGCTATCCAAAAAACAGTTCTGAAAGAAAATCCAAGTGGAAGAACAGAACTGCAGGGTTAGGGGAGGAGGCACAGGCCACTAGGCCTGGGTGCTGTCACAGATCCCCATGAACTGTGCTTTATGGTGAAGTAGTTGGCGGTGATGGGTCTTTAAGAGAGACAAGTCTTAGCCAGGTAGGTCCCCTACCCTGTCACTTGGCCTCCTCTCCCTCTCCTATACCCTCTAAGCAGTAAAATCTTGAGAGGCATGGTCTTTCTTCTCCAAGGCCCAGGGCAGAATCTACCCATTCTGCAAGCATATGCGGGTGGCTCTGTCCCCAGACCCTGTAGCACTTCTGTGATCACTCTTTAGAGAGGTGTGTCCCAGGTACCCACCCCCTTCTCTGGATTCCAGGCCCAGCCACCATGGTTCTGCCAATACTGTGGGCAAGGGGAGAAATTCAATGACAGCTCATACCCCCTCTAGGTGACCCGGATGTCACGGCCTCTGGAAGACAGCCCGTGAGCACAGCTGGGCACCGAGAGCAGGGCGAGGGCTCTGACTTCTCCCCTGGGGGAAGCCGTACTCTCCAGAGAGCCCAGAAGCCTGACAATGTCACAGTCTCAACGTACCTGGAATCCGAAGCAGATGGTGGGGAAGACACTAAACACAGAGGTCCAGGGGGGCGGGCTGTGAATAGACAGGGACAGGTGCTCGTTAAGGAGCAGGGAAACAATCTTCAGCTCGAGAGCGTTTGTTTTGAACAAAGGGAGGGAAATGTGATGGAGTGTGACTGCAAGACCTGTTTTCAATGGCTGAGTCTGAGTGTGCGCCGGGGCTGAGGGGACACTTGTTCAGTGCTGCTTTTTTTAAATACATCTCTGTGGACATTCGGTGACAATGACACTGACTGTGTGCGTGGGGTTTGGGAAAGGCAATGGCAAGGCAGAACCCCCATCTTCCCTCTAGAGGCTGCCTATTCCAAATGCTGTGGGGTGTTAGGGCACGTGCAGTCACTGTTGAACACGTCTCCCCAAATGCAAGGTTGTGTGCCCTGTGTCCAAGTCACCCCGGGGAGCAAGCGTCCCCTCTCTCCTGGCTCCTGTCTGGTAGATCCTGTTTGCTTTGCTAAGGGACTCTTCATGTTAGTCTCTGACAGCTTCAGGGACACATAGGTCAGTGGGGCATGAACAGCAGTCCCCTGTGGTCAGAACTTTTGGCTGTGGAAGAGTTAACAGTCCCCCAAACATCCCTGTCCTGATATCACCCAGGACTCTGCAAATATATTCCCTTGGGGCTGAAAGGAACTTTGTAGATAGAACTAAATCTTAGGATGAGCAGTGCCTTGGGTCCCAGAGGTGAGCCCAGTGCCACAGGAGACCATAGTGAGCAACCTAAGCCTCTGCCCAGGTGTAACAAAAGAGCCATGACCATGGGCCGGGCAGAGCTACCACATGGCTGGCTTTGGAGGAGGAAGAGCCACAGTCCAAGGGCTGTGGGCAGCTGCTAAAAGCAGGAAAAGCAAGAGGCTTTCCCAGACACTCCAGAAGGAATGGACTTGCCCAGGCCATTTGCTCCAGGGCCAAGGGAAACATTTCTGACTGTTTGAGCCTCTTGGTTTACAGGGATTTGTCGCAGCAGCCCCAGGAGACCCACCTACCTTACAAACTCCACCCTGGGGTTGGACAGATGGCTCAAAGGTTAAGAACACTGACAGCTCTTTCAGAGGACCTGGGTTCAATTCCCAGAGCCCACGTGGTGACTCACAACTGTAACTCCAGTTCTAGGGGTCCTGACACCCTCACACAGACATATATGCTGGCAATACACCAATGCACATAAAATTAAACAACAAACCCCACCCACCCAGATTCTTCCAGCTCCTCCGCCTCCTGGCTCAGGACCACAACTCCACAGACCAGCAATGCAGACATCAGCACCACTCCCCTTAGCCTGCCTCCTTCAAACTGCAGGCACACACAGCTGGTCAGCCTCTGAGGAGCTAGCAGATGTCTCCAAGTCACTTTCTGACTCAGCCTCTGCCATGCGCTGGCCCTCAGGCTTTACCATCTAGGACACACACACATCCTCTGATTCCTGTTTCCCTACCACTTGTAGTTCCTGGCCAGGACAACCACACCACCTGTGGGACCCAATACAGGATGGACAAGCTGAGGCCCTGGCTGAATTATGATAGAAAATTCTAAGAGTGGCGACTACAGTTACATGCCCCTGAGCTGTCCCTGTCCCTGAGAAAGAGAAGTCCACACATCTAGCATCATATTGCCTGCCTGGGATGCTCCCCAACCTGAGGCATCAGGTCTAGGCTGGAACGTCCGACCTGGTCTCTGTTCCTGCACCTGACTCCCACAGCCCCCCTGCCAACCCTTTTCAGGAGTGAGCCACGCCCCATCCCTGCTGTGCTCAGAGCACTGTGGGTGCTGCAGTTCACCCATGGCCAAAACCACAGTCTTCAAGAGTTCCTACGTGACACCCCACCTCACTTTCAGCCTAGTCCGGGCAGCTCAACAGCCCCACTGTTCCCTAAGCCTGGGCAGCTGCCAGGTCCCACTGCCTCTATGTAGAGCATGTGTCTGGTTTTGGCCCAGGCGTCCCAGGCTGGTGTGGCGGCCTTCAGTGTCTTTGTCTTCTTCTGAAGGAGGAGCTTCTTTGGCAACATCACACACCAGAGACAGGAGGGAGCTCATGGGAGAGAGCCAGGGTTCTGAGGCAAGTCCCAGAGGATCTCCTTCCAAAAGTCAGGAAAAACTGTCCTCCAAACTCACCTAAGCAAAGGGCGGGGCTGGCGCAGGAGGCCCTGGGGCCATCGGTAGTACTGCACGGTGACGACCAGGGCAAGGTAGCAAGCAGCCAGGGTACCTAGGATGCTGGCACACACAGGACAGAATCAGAAACCCTGCACCAGAGACACACAGTCAGTGCTCACAGGGGCAACCCAGCTCTGCCCTGGCTAGAGTGGAGCCAGGAAGCTCTCCTCCTGGACCACCATTCCCTCTCCATACGGGGTGCCCCAAGGGGTGGCTAGGCAGTGTTGCTGTGGTCCACAGTTCAGAGGTGCGGCTTCTGGATGCCCCAGCATCCTTGGGAAGAGCAGCTGAACATCTCTCCTCTCACCAGCAAGTGCCAATCAGCTGCTGGGGTTTGACATCCAAGTCAGGACATCTTCAGGCTTGGCCACAGGAGAGGGGAAGAGCCTGTTGTGGCCTGAAGGCCATAGGAGCCGCATGGGCCGCAGCTGTGGAGGGACTGGGCTCTGCTTCCAAGGTTACAAAGAGCATTGCTATTCACACACAAGGGGAAGGCTGGCGATGAACCTGAACTTGGGCCGAGACTGTCTGTCATTAGGCTTTTGTTTTTCAACACCATCCCTGGAAGCCTCAAGATAAAAAATGAATTAAAAACCATGCCCATCTGACTGTGTAGAGGGGGAAGGGGCAGAGCCTGCTACGGTTAGGCAACAATGTGAGCTGTTACAATGCTGTAAAGAAAAGTGAAATGAAAAAATTGCAGGGAGATGGATGGAACTGGAAAACATGCTAAGGGAGGTGACCCAGACCCAGTTAGGTGAACACTACTGTTCTCTCTCACACAAGTCCCAGATGCCTTAATGGAGAAGGCGATAGTGCCACACATGTGACACTAAAATGTGTGGGTGTGACACTGAGGTTACAGGTCCACGTGTGGATAGGCATGGCAGGGGAGGGAAGGTGAGGGGTGGGTCTAACCAGAACTAAGGACATAGGAAAAATCCAACTGTGTTGTAACGTAATTTTTAAAAAATTTAAAAAGGAGTTTAAGTTGGGTGTAGTGGCATGTGCCTTTAAATCTAGCATTCTAAAGGAAAGTAGATACCTGGGAGTTCAAAACCAGCCAGAGCTACATAGTAAGGTCCTATCTTAAAAAACAAAACAAAACAAAAAAGGTGGAATAGTGGTGCCCTACATGGGTGAGTTATTCCACAGTGATCTCAGTGCCAGGCACGGGACACCTCTGTTATGAAGGACTGGTCAGGGAGATCCCAGAGTGCTGCCCAGCCCAAAAACACCCACAGGCTATTGCCACCGCTTTTGGGTCCCCTCCAGAACTGGATGGCAATCCCCTTTAGCTGAAGAGGCTGTACACTTTGGATGCAGGATGTAGAGAAGCCAGTCTCAAACTGATTGGGAAGCTTCCTCCCTCGTGGCTAGCTTTCACGGGCTGCTGTGGGGGAAAAGATGTCCGTGGTCTTACCCAGCGCTAGACACTGCTTGCTACAATACCAGCCTGCTGGGCAGCAATGGAACGACCGTCCAGGTAACCAGTAGCTTTCTGACTGAACTTGAAGCCTGCTCCACAGGAGGAAGATCATTCTTGGTACTGTAAAACTGGTCCAAAGCCCAAGGCTAGGCTGCGTCTACACCATTGATTAGTGCTGCTCTCAACCTTGTTCGGAGAAGCCTTTTTTCTCAGGGCAGTGGTGAATGCAGAGGCTCTTAGGTGGTCAATGTGCTGAGAACTAGTGACAGTCGGGTGCTCAGCCCCAGTGAGACATCTGTATCAACCCTCTCCCTGCAGGGCCCAGATAGCATCGTGGAAGAGGGGAGAGAAAGAATGGAAGGGTTGAGAGATGCTGCCTTCCGGACATGGCATGGCCATCGCACTCATGAACTCACAGCAGCTGCGGTGAGATCAGGGTTGCCAACATTCCAGCACTGATGGGGAGGGGCGTGGGTGGGGAGGGGCGTGGGTGGGGAGGGGCGTGGGTGGGGAGGGGCGTGGGTGGGGAGGGGCGTGGGTGCGGAGGGGCGTGGGTGCGGAGGGGCGTGGGCGGGGAGGGGCGTGGGCGGGGAGGGGCGTGGGTGGGAAGGGGGCATAGGTGGGGAGGGGCGAGGGTGGGGAGGGGCGTGGGTGGGGAGGGGCATTGGTGGGGAGGGGCGTGGATGGGGAGGGGCGAGGGTGGGGAGGGGACCTCAACGCCCCATCCCTAGCTGAGGAGCTGCTGTAGGGAGTTAACTTCCTGTGGGGAATGTGGCTCATGGAAGCTGCTCCTGCTCGGATGGGTGGCAGCACACAACACCTATACACATGTGGGTAGCTGATGTTAAAGGGGAGGAGGAAGAGGAGAGAGAGGTGGGAAGGAGAGATTTGGAGGGGATCCTGGGGGAGAGGAAGGTAGGAACAAGGAGTGGATTTGATCAAGATACATGTACACGTGTAGGAAATTATTGAAGCATAAGTTAAACATTATTTTTAAAAGACCCGCTGTTAGTATTTCTTGGCTTATCTACGTTGTCTACTGTGAGTGCATAGAACCTGCTAGAACCTGTGAGACACAGTACTGCCCAAAGTGGGTCCCTGTCACACTACAACCCAGAAGCCTCTGAGGCCCCCATACCTGGCGTACTTCTGGAAGGCGATTTCCCGAAGTGCTGACAGGGGAAAGATGACAAGCACCGATACCAGGGGCAGAGTGAAGTCCTGGGCTGCATACCAGGGCTGTGAGATGTCGGGCAGGAGGGAGTCACACACTGTTAGAGACAGGGACAGGAGCCAGGCTGTGGAACCCACAGTAACCACCTGGGCATGGAGGGATCAGAAATGAAATGGGGCCCCATCCCATGCCCCCCTTGCAGGAAGGAACCCCGTATTTCATGGAGTCATTCAACAAACACACACTGAGAGCTGAGCTAGTAGGGACGGGACCGTTTGGGGCTCAGGCTGCACAGCCAGGGCAGTGGGCAGCTTGGGTCTCTCTGCAGCTGTGCATTGGAGCTCAGTAACTGCAGTCCCCAGCGGGGTGGCTGAGAAATGTAACTCTCGCCCACACTGTGCCTTGGTGTGTAAATGTTAGGGAGCTGGACTGGCCGCTCAGTGCCACCTGGCTGGTTCGGACTCCTAGGGGGCACCTGGCTGATGGCAGAGCTGGTCTGCTGGTGCCTGCTGGTAACCCTCGAGCCCCCCCCCCCCAGCCTTCTGTCTCTCCTCATGGGCCTTCTTGCTGGCTCCATGCCTGTGGCAGCCGGGAGCTCCCGAGTTGGAAGCTGCCCATCCTTCTAAGAGCTACACCTAGACCTGCCATAGGTCTCTTATGCCACACATTGCAGGACAAACAAAGTCATGCCATCCCACATCTGAAGGACAGGTGACCGGTGAAAGCACCATGGAGAGCAGCAGGATGGCTAATGCGAGCTGGGTTAAGAGGGAGGGCAGCTGGGGGAGGGGAGCAAGGGAGTGGCAGACAGCCTGGAGCTGGAGTGACCGGGAACCACAGGCAAGGTGACCACTGCACAGAGGTGAGCCTGGGAGAGGGTCTTGGGGTCACTTGCGCAGCAGTGAGTAAACCCTTTTCAGATCTCACCAAATGTAGCCAAACATATAAATAACTGCCTGGTGAGAACAGCTCCCCCAGCTGGTGAGATGAGGAAGGTTCTCACAGCCAGGTCACCACCATGCAGAGGCTCTGCTCAGGATAGTCTCTCCCTCCCTCCCTCCCTCCCTCCCTCCCTCCCTCCCTCCCTCCCTCCCTCCCTCCCTCCCTCCCTCCCTCCCTCCCTCCCTCCCTCCCTCCCTCTCTCTCTCTCTCTCTCTCTCTCTCTCTCTCTCTCTCTCTCTCTCTCTCTCTCTCTCAGTCGCACGCACGCACATACATGCACCACAGAGCGACCAAGAGGAAGCAGGTGGTGAATGGCACATGGAGATTCCAAGTGGGTTTTAGAATGCCACATAGGGTGGGGTGCAAACCTTTCTTCAACAGAACTTCCTACAGCCAGGAAACAGCAGGTATCGTCAGAATGACACCACCTCCTTCACTAACCTGGAATGTCTAACAGCCCATGAAGTTTTCAGCGCCACTGGGGTCAATGCGCCTAACTCACAGTGTCCCGAGCACTCAAGCTCCTTTTAGCATCTCCTTTCCAAGTGTGTATCAAGGACAGCCACATCCCCAGTGTCAGGCCATAAGACATGAGCATGCTCTCTCTTGCCGTCTGTGTACCGAGACCTGGGGTGGCTCATATCTTAGTAAATGTCTCGGGCACAGTGCTCCATCCCTGCAACCCTGACTACTCTCAACACTGCTTCACTATCAGTTTTGGATCTGAGTTGTGGGAGGGACTCCACATGTCACATGTGTGACCATTTACTCACTGGGAGAGCCAGAGAGTCCATCCTCCATATTCTTTGGCACTGGACAATGTCGGAGGTTCTAAAATCCCACAGCCAGGGGTCAGCAATACAGTAGACTCAATCTAACCCTAGCAACAGCTACATTCCAATTAAGCCTAACGATTCCAATTAAAAGCCTGAGGCTGTCAAGATGATTAAAAAAAAAACCCCACAAAACTCAGCCATATGCTGCCTACAAGGAACGTATTTACAATCCCAAGCTGTAGGTGGCTTCAGAAGTTTGTGAACACGACCATGGACACTGACCTTGAAGAAGCTGGTGCCTCTATTAATAGAGAAGGAGGCTTCATGTCAGAGATGAAAGCAGAATATTTCATATTAATAAAGGATGTGTCTAATCACGGGGTTTCAAAAGCCACAAAGCAGAGACTGTGGAATTACAGGGTGAGGCAGGCAGGTCTGCAGTCACAGCTGTAGCTGTCAGCACCCGTTCTTAGATGGCATAGACTAACCAGGACATTTTAAAAACAGCAGAGACGGGCTGGGCACGCGGGAGGCCCTGGGTTCCATCCCCAGTACTACATAAACCAGGCATGGCGGCACATGCCTGTAATCACCGTGCTCATGCAAAGGCACGGGCTGCACAGGCGACTCAGGGGAGGAGCATGTATTGCCCTTGTAGAGGGCCAGTGTGACACCCAGCACCTACACCAGGTGACTCACAATCACCCTTAACTCTCGCTCCAAGGGATCTGACACCTCTGGCCTCCAGGAGTGCCAGCACTCACAGGCACACACCCTCAACCCACACACAGTTAAAATAACAATACAAACAAATCCTTTTTTTTTTTTTGGTTTTATGAGACAGGGTTTCTCTGTATTGTTTTGGAGGCTGTCAGTCCAGCCTGGCCTCAAACTCACAGAGATCCACCTGCCTCTGCCTCCCGAGTGCTGGGATTAAAGGCGTGCGCCACCACCGCCCGGCTAACAAATACTTCTTAAACAAGGAGGCACAGGGGAATTAGGAGCTCAAGGTTTTCCTCAGCTACTTAGTGAGCTCGGTTCTAGTCCAGTCTGGGCTATTGAAGCCCTGTTTCAAAACAAAATAGAACAACATGGCATGCTCACCAAGACTGACCAGCACTGGGTCACAATTAGGTTTGTTTTGTTTTTTTTTTTTGTGTGTGGTTTTTTCGAGACAGGGTTTCTCTGTGTAGCTTTGAAGCCTGTCCTGGAACTCACTCTGTAGACCAGGCTGATCTCAAACTCACAGAGATCCTCTTGCCTCTGCATCCCGAGTGCTGGTATTAAAGGTGTGTGCCACCACCATTGGGCTGGGTTTTAACAGTCTCTAAATTTCATAATTGTGCAATAAGATGATAGTCTTGTCCATGATACAAATAAAACAGGAACCACAGGATCTGAACAACTGCCAAATAGCAATTAAGCAAGATGGTGCAGACCTCTGTAAGTCTGCACAGGACTTACAGAGAGAACAGAGGGAGGGAAGCACAGAAGTTACCGAGCGCATGCCTGGCATGGTGCAAACAGAAGGTAGGAAAACGTGCCAAGTGCAGCGGCAGCCGTGCTTTGAGAAGCCTTAGTAAAGCGCCCGAGGCTATGAAACGTGTGTCCTCACGGTGCCTCTCAGGAGGGTCTTTCTGCAGCTGACTTAGTTTCCCCATCTGTGAAATGGGCTATCTCCATTAGCCGTTCCATCTGCAGCCATAGTCTCTCTCATGCTTTCGTGATCAACTGCTCCCTTCCTAACCACATTGGATCCTCAGGCGAGGCCTTGTCCCTTGAGGTCCATCAACTACCCACTGTCCCTCTCATCAACCGGGGGCCTGAGAGTCATTCCAGGCCCTGCACCCTGGATTACCCCAATGCCAGGAAAGGAACTCACATTTCTCCAGCTGGTCCCCGATTACCCTGAGGAAGGCCACAGAGATCATGATCAGGTTGGTCAGGAAGCAGACTTCACACAGCTTCCCCATGGCAGCCCCACACAGCTCACGGACCACGCCCTGGTAGGTTGTCTGGCCGCTGACGGAGGCTGCGTAGCCCAGGATGACCAGGCCACTGATCAGGAAGAGCAAAGAGACCTGCGGAGGGACCATGGGACTGCACACATTAGAGGCGTGACTCGCAGGCCAGCTGCAAGTCTCTGCAAGGCCAGTGGGGGCATGGCCTAGGCTTGCCCGAGGTCAGAGCTTCAGGGGCTGTGGGTGCTGCCAGCTGTTCTGGGTCTGGGTCTGAGTCTGGGACTCTCCCAGCTCTGCCATGTGGGACAGATGAAACTTCACAACGCTAGGGAGTTGAGAATTCTCTCCTGTTCTCTTGAGAGGTATGGCTAGGAATGTGGGCAGGACAGGGACGTCTGGCTCAGAAGCTCAGGCCAGTCTGTGGTGTGAAGCAGGCTCTCAGACCCGCTGTTTGTCCTGTGAAATGGTGACAGTCTCACTCACCTGTCAGGGGACCTGGGGTCTGATGCATTCAGGTGTAGGCTCAGGGCAAGCACTCTTGAGAGTGGGATTTGTGGTTTGGCAGGGGCGGGGAGGGCGGGGAGGGCTGTTTTACTTAGTGTTTTCTAGGGCTCTCTCAGTGTTTGTTTTTATTTGTTCATCATTGATTGTGAACACTTTTCGTGTATACATGAGTTAGAATACTGCACTGAACCCCCTGCCCACCCCAGATCCCATGCAACAGACTCCTGTGCATACTCCTGTCTACACTTCCCGGACACTCCACAGCCATCTCACTAATTTCCCAGGGTGCTTTGAGTGCCCACTGTTGAGAGCTCAGTGCCCTGTACACCCCTCCCTCATGGACCAAACTTCCAAGGAAAGGGCTGCAGAGGAGCCTGTGGGGCGCCAAGACGTGCAAGCCGAGCCCCTCAGCACTGCCCCGCCTCGCCCCTGGAGAGTCCCACATCCAGTGATGTCCTGGTCTTGTATCAGTTTCTTCTAAGCCCAGCACTGGGGAGATACAACTGTGTGCACCTGCAGTTTGTGGCTCTTTTTCTCTGGTAACACTTGGGGGCATGACGGATCTCATCCTAAGAGCCCGTGGAGACTCAGTGGGGCAGCTCTTGCATGTGACCCTCTTAGAAGAGGGCATATCTCCTGGGTGCAGAGTCTCGAAAATAAAATCCCACGATACCACACACAAGACAGCCAGCTCTGCCAAAGCAGTCCTGAGGACCCCCACCGGGAAGAGCCGGAACCATCTTCCACCTGCCCCTGAAGGCCTCTGTGACTCACCAGTGCCACCAGGAAGGTGGGCACCAGGCCTCCTGCCTTGTAGAAGGCCCAGGGAAAGTTGAGCAGTCCGGCACCCAGGGCGGACTTCAGGAGGATGAACACGGCGCCCAGTGAGGACAGGGTGGGACTGGTGGTGGCAGGGAGGGGCTTCTCCAGAAGGCCTCTGCTCCCTCTGGTCTGTCCTTCCATGGCTGGGGCAGCAGAGGGACAGAGAGGGAGGGCTAGCATCAAACCTTCCTTCCTCATCCTTTAGGTCTCAGAGCCAGTCAGCATGAGACAGGGCAACTGGTACCCCTCACCCCTGTGACCCCTCAGCCTCCCCTCCCCACTTCCCATGGGGGCCATGTTCATTTACTCCTGGCCCTCTAGCTCTTTCATATCTCGTCTCTCTCCCATCCTCCCTTAACCCCAAGGCAGCCTCCCTCCTTCCCCTCTTCATCCGAAGCTCCAGCCCCCTCTCCCGGTGGATGCTTCCTTCCCAGATCCCACCACAGCCATGCTTCCCATTTCAGCTCCCACAGTGCCCGGAGCCCTAACCCTTACCAGACCAAGTAGGGTGCCCCACAGTCCCAGGGCAGCAGACTCGATCTTAGGCTTCCTCTCGGTGCTCCGGCTGCTCTGCTGGGAGCCTGAGGAGCCGGTGGAGGGAGAGTCAGCTCCGCGGGGATGGGCTCTTGAGCTGTTCGTCAAGGGGGCCCTGGAGGGCGTGTGTTGGATTAAGGATCCAAGTCTGAAGGGCATAGGGGACAGACCAAGACCACCTGTCCCAGAAGCTTGCAATGGACTTGATCAGGATGTCTTAATTCTTGTGATCCACAGTCCCCCTCCCTGGGGTGTGGCTTTGTCGGCAGCTTACTGGTCAGAGCAGAGCTGGTATCCATCAGAGCCAAGCACCCAGAAGCCGAGCCCACCCAGTGTGAGCGGGGGTCAGTTTCTTCAGATCCCTCAGCAGCCCTGCAAGGCCTCTCTAGCTTTGGGGAAGGTCGTGGAAGGGGCTGGGCTGAGTCTATCACCATCACTCAGTGTCACTGTTGGCAGTATATCTCATTGAGGCCAATCTGTGGAAGGGGTCCCTAGGCACCTCAAGTTGGTCTTCCCCTTGCCTCTTACAGCGCCAGTGGTGGGCGCTCCTTAAACGAACTGTGCCTCAGATGTGCCTTGGTGAATGGCAGACTAATGGCCTCCACTACAGGAAAGCCCATGGTCTTGATTCTAATGAGCTCCAGGAGGAAGCCACTCTGAGCAGAAGGTAACCGTCCATGCTCTGAACCTGTGTGGTTACTAAGCTGGCAGAAGACACACATCAAGATGGCAAGATTAAACCAGGCATTTTCATCAGCTTGTTGCTGGAGCCTGGCCCCCACTCGTTTCTTGGGAATCCCCTGGAGGGTTCCTGCATACAAGCTGCCAGTCCATCCCTGGCGTTTCTGCCTCAGTGGGCCCGGGATGGGGTCAGAGAACCTACCTGCCTGTCTAGTACGTTTCAAGGACCCTGCTGAGAACTGCTTTCCATCAAACACCTCTGCCCAGAGCCCCACCCCATCCAATCAGCCTATCTGTCAGCGACGCCCCCAAAGCACTGTTTCCTTCTGGGTTTCTAGCATCTCAACCCTGACTTGGTGACCTCCTTGAGGCTTCACACAGCTGGTGCTCACCCAACGCCTGACAATCTCTCAGCGTGACTGCCTAGGAGACTGTGATTCCACTGGCCCCCTGCCCCGTGCTGACAAGAGTCAGCACACAGGGAGTACTCAAGGGCGAAGGAGGAAGGAAGGACGGACTCCAGAAAGAATGGCAAAGTCACTGGGTCTCCCCCGTGAAAGCTGTAACCAAATGCCACAAGCTTGGTGGCTTGAAACATCAGCGATTTAGCTAGCCCTTATTCTGGAGACTCGGGTCTGAGGCCAGCAGGTAGTAGGGCCACCTTCCCACAACAGGATCTGAGGGATGCTCCTTCTGCTCTCCTCGTGGGGCTAATGGTGCACCACGGCTATAGCCTGGGTCTCGCATGCTGGGCTGGGGTCTGGTGTTCACTGGCCATGCCGAGTTGGATAAAGCCTTTTAGCTCCGCGTCCTCCTCACCCGAGTGGGGCTATCAAATCTGGGGAAGGTGGAGATGGATACTATAGGGGGAGTAGGCAGTAGGGCCAGGGCAGGAGTCCAAGCTGGCAGGGAAAGGGGCCACACACAGTAGCATACAGGTGACCCGGTGTCACACCACACCTTCCAGGAGGCTCAACAGTCCATCCCCACACACCCCTCCCCCTAGCCTAAGGAAAAAGATAAAAAGTGCTTGGCCAGTTAGTGGCTAAAGCTTTGTACTCCTTAATCAGGCTCAGGGGCTCAGGGCACTCCCCTGTCCCTGCCCAGGATCCCTCATTAGCTGCCCATTAGTGTGCATGACTTAGAAATTGGCCACTAGGCTGTAAAATTCCATGATCTCTTAATTCATTGAGGCTTTGATATTCACTCCCCTGCCAGCTTCCCAAGGCTGTGTGACCTTTCCCAAGCTGTGGAGGGGGCACCCTGCAGGGCTCCAGCTGCAGCCCGGGGAGGGTGGGTGGCCACCCTCCGCTCAGCCCAGTCCAGGCAGGCCCAGGGCACCGAGCAGAAGAGAGGAAAGGAGGTGTGCACAGGCTTCCTGGGGATCTGCAGGCGGTGGCTCGCAGGGCGCTGCTCCGGAGCATGCTCACCTTCCAGCCTTCTCCCTTCATTCTCCCGCTGGCTGTGCACCTGCTCATCCGGGGCTTCCTGACAGCCGCTGTCCTTCCCCACAGCGTATGACAGGACTCTCACCAGATGCTTAGAAGGCTCTGGATCCTGTGAGGAAGCTTGTGGGAGTGGCCACCTTCCTGGCACCAGGTCTCTGGCGTGGCCACTGGAATCGTCATTCATGACAAGGAAGGAAGAGAATTTTGTCAGCAGTTAGTGCTGAAGCAGGAGCGCAGGTCACATGACACTGCTTAAGGGTTTTCTTTTTAACCTCAGCTCCATAGGGAGTGTCTAGAAGCTTCCAGTGCCAGCCCATCAGCACCCTGGACTACACTGGTTTGACACAGGACTCCTAACAGGTACACAAGAAAGCCTGCCATGCTGAGAAAGGGGAAGGCCACCATGTTGAGTAGGTGAGGCCACACGGCCTGCAGAGGTCCATGAACGCTGGTGCTGCAGTTAGGGCTCAGTGTCCCTGTCAGAGCCCATCAGCCCCCTTAGGTAAACACATGACACCTTAGGAATCTGGAAACCAGTGTGGCTGGCTGATGAGGGCACGAAAATGGCTCCATCCTGTTGTCCTTGTGATGTGACCTCGCTTGGCAGGAGGGTTCCACAGATGAGCCTTGAGATGATGAGGCACGCCTGGAGTTGTCTGGTGATGTGACTGCTGCAGGAGACCGTCATGGAGGTCGGCCTACTAAAATCACCTAGATGGGGCCTCAAAACCCTTGTCTGAGATCCTAGCTACTCACTTCTTTCTCTAGGGGAAACGGAGTGGGTGGACGGTTGACCCAGGCAACTTTGGGGCTCATGAGGTGGCATGAGGCAGTGTCCTTCAAGACTAGTTTGCCATAGGGCTGCAGGGTCTTACTGTCACTACTGACTCAGACCCTTCCTGGAGTAAGACACTGGGGACAAGACACTGAAACTTGGGTTTCCAGGCCTCTCTGTGGCTTCTAAGAACCAGTAATTAAACCAGCATCCTACTCTATACTAAGGTTATCTGGAAAAAAAAAAAATCAAGAACTTCTCTGGAAACTCCTACTTAATCCACACAGGGAAAATGGACAATCTCCTACAATGTGTGCTCAGTGGATCAAAGACTCACCTCTCACCTCAGTGGGCTTCCTTGCCCAGGTCAACCCAAAGCCAGCCCAACCCGAGGACAGCACAGTACTGCAGGCTGTAAGCAGCTCGGCACGCTGCCCACTTCAGCTGGTGCCCAGGGATCCAAGCTTGGCAGGTCCCGTGTACTAGCTGTGGAGCTGTCTGCCCCCAGGGCCTGTCTTCAGCTTTCAGAGGAACCCAAGTCCTTGATTTTGTACGGGCCCAGCATGGACAAACATGAGTGTGTAAAGCCCTGGATATGGGCATCTCACACACAGAGAACAAGCATGGGCATTTCAGAGTCACTTACACTCCTGCAACAAACTCAACAAGTCCTTGGTGTCCTATTCAGGGTGCACAGGTGGTTTTGAGTCTCCATGGACAATCTTGCAACAGGAGTCCTTGTCAGAGCGTAGGAGTGGTCAGAGGTTATTAGGAGCTGAAGGGCTGGGAGGGTGAGCTTGGGAGATAAGCAAAGGCCATGAGCCAAGATGCAGAGGTTACTGGAGGTGAGACAGACAGGAGACTGTCCTCTAGGGACACCCACAAGTATTCCGGTCAGTCAGTCAAACAAGACCACTTCCGAGCTCCCAATCTCCAGAGCCAACATTAGGGAACGAACAGTTGTTTGTAGACACCAACCTGCTCATTTACCACCCTGATCCTTGAGCAGACTGAGAGCAAAGACCTCAGGCTCCTGGGCAAGGGCTGGGTCCGTGGTTACTCTCCTCCTGGGTCCTCTTGTCCCCTCCCGACCACAGGGCTGCTTCTGCAGGTACAATCAGGAGTCCTGTCTAAACAGGGGGAGAAGGGATTGGACTTTGTAGGTACAAGGATGTCTTCTTAGATTCACTTCCAGGTTCATCTCCCTCTTGCCAATAGGATGTCCAGAAAGGAACGGAAAGGCTAGGCAACAAGAGACCTGGGACACAGCACAGCTGGGGCAGAGCCCACAGCCTTTGCGTCCTCCATGGCCTGATGACAGACAAATGATCCTCCTGTCTGCAGGACCAGAGATCCTTTCCCAGGGCCCCAATTAGATGCTTCCTGAGGCTGGCTCGATCACAAGGTCCCCTGGGGAGGTATGTACAAGCCTGAGAGAGGAAGGGGGCAGAATTAACAACTCACCAGTTAACCACGCTGAGTGCACCTCAGCAGCTTAGGTACATTCCTAGCACTGTGCAACCATCACCACTAATTCCCAAGCATTTTCATCACCTCTCCCCCCAGCCCCAGCAACAGCTAAGCTAATCTGCTTTGACTCCATGGATTTGTCTGTTCTGGCCATTTCATGCCAAGGCAGTCACAGCAAATGCAGCTTTTCGTATCTGCCTTTTCTCACCACGTGTTTAAGGTTATCATGAGGT